TTATTGTATATGAGTGTTTAAAAATGCTCCAGAATACCTCCACCAAGTTGGTTATACATTGTAGCCATTTAACAGCAGCTTTGTAGAAATCTCTTTGTAACTTAAATCATAGCAAGCTTGCTAATCAGTAAGCACTCGGAGAGGCCTTTGCCGCGTGCCCACAACAGCAAGTCGCGCGCAGTCGCGCAGTTCTAAGCACCCTCCAGAGTCCTGTCACACTGCCTCCATCCAAGATGGAGCAAAAAGTGCAGAGTTTTATGCAGATGCTAGCAGGTGCTAGCAGAGCAGAGCAACGGGGGCCTGTTGTACCGCCTCCATCCAGGATGGAGCACAAAGCGCCGGAGGCCTGTTGTGTCGCCTCCATCCAGGATGGAGCACAGAGCGCCGGAGGCCTGTTGTGTCGCCTCCATCCAGGATGGAGCACAGAGCACCGGGGGCCTGTTGTGTCGCCTCCATCCAGAATGGAGCACAGAGCACCGGGGGCCTGTTGTGCCGCCTCCATCCAGGATGGAGCACAAAGCGCCGGAGGCCTGTTGTGCCGCCTCCATCCAGGATGGAGCACAGAGCACCAGAGGCCTGTTGTGCCGCCTCCATCCAGGATGGAGCACAGAGCGCGATACTGAGGTGGGCGCTAACAAGAGAGAGCATACCTGTGTATAGGCGCCCGTCTCCGTGTATAAGCGCCCATCTCTGTGTATATAAGCGCCCATTCCTGGCCATTTCCTAACTTGCAATGCAGCCTATAACCCTAAACCCTAGAGTGTCTACAATATGATGTTTTCCTGATCGCACGCTGTTGCGCGATCAGGTTATTAATACAATACTGTGTGATGACACAGTATTGCTTCATAGGAGTGTCTACAATATGATGTTTTCCTGATTGCACGCTGTTGCGCGATCGGATTATTAATACAATACTGTGTGATGACACAATATTGCTTCATATGAGTGTCTACAATATGATGTTTTTCCTGATCGCGCGCCGCTGCACGATCAGGTTATTAATGCAATACTGATTCATTACATAGTATTGTTTCATATGAGTGTCTGTACCATGTTCTTCCTAATTGCACACTGCTGCACGATCGGGTATTTTTCTTGTTGGCCACTGAATATTGCCATTTGACAGTATTTACATCTGAAAGTGCTCTCCAGAGTGCATTTTACCCTTTTCACAGTGTTTGCAGATTTTTAATCACACAACCCACATTTTAACCACCAACCCCCCTCCAAAAAAGGGGTAGAATGATAGCAACACAATACTCCTTCACTGTCAACTTCTTTCCAGAGACCACCTCTTGCATCCAGCGTTGGCAGCATCATGTCGCTTCTGTGGGCCATCTGCCCAGGTTTGAGCTGCCTTGGGGGGGTTATTACGAGGAACCAGAGAGTTTGCCCGAGGACCCTCCAATAGGGTCCCAGTTTGCACAGGACTTTAATCAGGAGATCGAGCACGCGAACGACAACGATCATCCAGCGGCGTCGTTGTACCTCGCCGAGCTCGAAGAAGAAGTGCAGGGCGCTGACAACCGGTGGCTTCTTCCCTCTCCAGAGATACTGACAATCAGCCTCACCTCTTCGCCTACCTACTACTGCTCTCGCACTCTGTCACTGTCTATTAGCTGGAAGGCTGAGCGAGCGCTGTCTAACAAGGCTGCAGCAAGGCCAGACGTCGCCGAAGCAACGGCATATCAAGCTGCGCTCGACGAGAGTGTGGACGCAGTGGAGACAGAGCACATGGAATGCGAGAAGTGAATTGTATATTGTATAAATCATAAATTCAATCGTCATGTTTCTTGGTGTAGTAAATGCTATTATGGGACTCCTGGAGCAAATCTGCAGACAGTGGCTGATTATTTGTCAGCAATGTGCAAACTAGCCAGTCATTCAAAGCATAGCTAACGCACAACGCACATTGCTGTCCGCATGGCGAGATGTTCGTCATTAGTCATTTAAGCGTGCTTTTACTCGCTGCTAGCTGAGTGTCCGCTGCTGGCGATCTTGCATGTAAGAGATAAATATTTCTACTCCCAGCCATTGAAATGCATGATTGCTATCTTCATGATTAGGCCACCAGCATGTGTGGATTGCAGGATTGGGTAATACTACATCGCTCGTTCCGCCTGTATGTGGTCGCCACTGGTCACCTTATGCAGTGTGGAAGGCTATGATCAAAGGCACTTTAACTTCTTCCTGCAAATGTGCAGTCGCCACTGGTGGCCACATGCAGCCCGCCAGGTTGACCAAAGCTATTTGTGCTGTTTTCCCACAAACAACAACAAAACACATATGTGGTCGCCATTGGCAGCCATATAAAGCGTAAGATTGGCTAATGCTGCTCGACTAATTTCACTCATATATGTTCGCCACTGGACACCTTAACCAATTTGCAAGGTTATGACCAAAGGTACTTTAATGTCTCCCTGCCAACGTGCAGTCGCCACTGGCATCTGCATATCGCTGGCGAGGTTTGACCACAACTACTCTGCTGCTTCCCCACTAAATACGCAGTCGCCACTGGCGGTCGCTCTCTGAAGCATGCTGACCACAGCCACTCTGATGTACTTGGCCGCCTCTCTGCACACATGCAGTCGCCACTGGCAGCCACGCACTGCGTCAGAAGCAAGTGTCAAGTGGTAGCAGCCAGCGTCAAATGGTAGCAGCCAGCGTCAAGGGCAGGGGTCGGTGCTTGAAATGGCCCCTACCGACCCCTACAAGTGCTCATAACCCTAAGGCATAAGGCATAAGGCATTTCCTAACCTGCAATGCAGCCTATAACTCCATCTGCCAATTTTGCCGAGGGCCGGCCAATCACAACGCGGATAGTCATAATGCTCATTACGCATCCATCCGACGGCTTCAGCTCCGGCACGCGGTGTCCATGGTACTGCCCCTCCCCAATGTCCCATGGCGCAAGGTATAAGTATTTCCTGGAATAGGCTGATGAGTGTCATCACGAAAGCATCCGGAGTACCTCACAGTACTCGGACCTTCGCATTCTAGTTTCACCTCAGCAACATCGCCTTGCCTCGCTTCGCTCGGCTCGGCTCCCCCCAACCCTAAAACTCCAAGTGTCTTATTGCATCCCATTTGGGCAAGAGATGCGACGCAAGCTTGCAAGCAGACTGGGCAGACTCGTCGGCAAACCAATAGGGGGTTTCAAGTGCCCAATCTTATCTTATCACTGAGTTGAGACTTAGAAAAATCACATCTGGTCTGCTTTGCCCGCAACTGAAATCATGTCCTCAAACTCAGTTATCTCTTGCAACCTGGTCAACACATATATTTTTGGGCTCGCACAGATCACCTCTATTAGGAATTCAAGTTATAAAATGCAGACTGTCCAGGTGATTGTGGGAAGTCAAGAGCTGTCTTCTCTGGCTCCAACCTAGCAGTCAGTAGTCTCTCGGGTGTGTGTTTGCCATGCTTGACAGGCCTCACAGCTGTCAAAGAGGTAGAGATATCTACGGGGAGCTCTTGAGAGATCCTACTTAATGGGATACGTGGTGCGATATGCATAGTAGGCCACCAAGTAATGGCAGGACACAGTGAGGATAGCCCAGAAGCACCACCAGCTAGCATCTTGTTCGGCAAATACTGACAGTTCAAATTACTAACATGACAGCATACAGCATGAATGGAAACTTACCTGGTGCAAATATCCAAGTTGCTGATCTTGAAACTTGTCAGCTGCCACTTCAGCTGATAGTGCTGCAGCCACCATGGATGATATCACTGTTGGCCCATGCTTCACAGCTCGTGGTTTCAGCGCATACTTAAGTGGTAATGGTGGCTGCACAGGGTCGGCCACTGAATTCCTCTTGATGAAAGGACTTAATTCATTGAGGTGCTGAATCTTGGCAGGCAGCAGGCTATCATCGTCCACTGCTGATGAGTCACATGTTTTGACCACCTCATTGCAGTGCCAGTGAAAAGGAGCAGTGCACAAACAAGCCAACTTGGGTGTATGCAGCATGGAGAGGTATGGCGATGCACTGTGGGGCTTTAAAATGTCTCAAGTAGCAAGATATCACACTGACCCTGGACGTCACAGACACCCTGCTGAAGCCTGATGAGGAAACACTTCTCCACAAGTGCATGGTATATACCATGCTCCATATTTTAGTTGACTTTGGTGGCGAGGCCTTTGCCCAGTTTGCAAAGATAGTAGAAGACACACAACCCAAGAGCAATGAGAAAATTCCAGTTCACCGCACAGCAATCCATCTTCTGCCATACATCAATGTCGATGAGTTAACAATAACAGAGAATGCTGAGGTGCTCAAAAGAATTTATAAGCACTTACAGTATATTCCAAAAACTCTGACCTGCTGTCCACTGGTACTGTGAAGATTATAAGTGGTGATCAACTATCCATATCTTGCATCTGAACTGTTCAGCAGAACTGTGCAGGTCATGACAACATTCGGAACTCTCTCATCACTATTGTCCACTCATCAGGGTTGTTCTACACCCAACTCCATCTCGTATTTGATGTTCTGGAGAAGCACTGAAGTGACCAAAGCATAGGTGCTCATGATCCCGCATCGCTTGTTTTCTACAACACCGTTCTTGACCAGAAGCCCATCACCATCTCTAGCTTGCCTCTCTACCATGTCTGTAGAGATCTCATCTTTGTCTCTCTTTTTGCTCAAGTGCTTCACTGCTTGAAGCTCAGGCTTGTCATTGATCATCCTGCCAAAGGGTACCCAGAATTATTCTCATTCAATAACTTGTATCACCATGTAGAAGAGATTGTTGAGTGGTTCACCAACAACCTAATGGTCGATGAGCTGTGGGAGGCTAGAGATGAGGCAGTATATATGTAATAAAATGACAACTCCACCATGCCAGAAGGTGACATGATGTTTGAGAACTCAATTTTGTTTCTGCGCGACACCTTGTACATTCGTGAGTTTACTGACACTATCAAGGTCGGAGACTCTGGAAGAATCTTGATTATGATCAAGAAATTTGCACCTCTTTACCACAGACTTGGGCAAACAAAGTATGCACATCAAATGCTGCATCTTGTGCACAACCTAGAGCACATTTGGCCTAAACCTCTTTGGTATATGCATCTGCTTCTGTTTTAACACATGCAGGTAATAACCAACACTTGCTGTAGACATATCATCATGATAAACTGGGTTGTGAACCCCTCAGGTCATCCAAAGGGATTCATCCCAACAGACTTGCTGTAAGAGCACGAAAACCTGCTCATCAAGATTTGTCCTGAATCAGCCTTGTCATGAATGGATAATAACCAGTTTCTGCAGACGCTATACAAAGTGCAAAGGTCAAATGCATTTGCAGAATGGCTAGAGTCAATTTCACCCTGCGTCAACTTGCTGCAGGAACTCAAGCGCAAAATCTATGACATCCTGGGAGGCTGACAAGGCAGTAAACATGCATCACCAGATCTCAGGCTGTCAAAGGATATTCAACAACTGGTACAGTCGCTCTGCATCCATAAGCCATACAAGATGCAAAAGGGCTACACGCTAGAGGCAGACAATAGGCAGATCAATAAGGCTGTGGTTCTTAGACTGAACCAACTTTCTGGGCCTCTGAACAAGTACAACTGCTTGTTCGATAGTCTCTGTGAGCACCAATGGGCATTGCCTCTTATTGGAGACTGCCCCAGCTGGATTAGGACTAACTCAGATGTCGATGCGAGACCACCAGCTAAACCATCAGCTGAGCCATCAGAGGGTCATCTCAAGAATGCTATCACTTTATGTGTGTGACTGTACACTTCACATAAATGTCTGCTATCTAATCATAATCATAGACAAGCTCGGACAGGAGCTTACAGTCAGATAGCGATAGTAACTTGTCTGAAGATTGCAGTTGGGATAGTACTTCAAGTGCTGGCAACTCTGATACAGAGTCACAGTCAGGCATTAGCACCTCCACAAGTTTGGTCAACATGATTGTCAACTGCAGGGTGTCTATCTTGAGCTCTAGCAGAAGCCTTTCTTTGGACACAGCAGGGTCAGAACAGCAGAAGGGTGAAGATTGGCTCGTTGAGACAGTTTTCTCATTGGACACTGAGGATGATATTGATTTATACATGTACTAAGTGCCTACTAACAGGAAAACCACTTTGTTTTGTGTTAATCAGATGTCCGAGCATGGAGCAGTTGATTTTGAGTCTGCGAGCAAGTCGCAGAGACACAATTTTTCTAAGTTCCAACTCATTGGTACCCAGCCCACCCAGTGCTTATTTGACCCCCTTGGTTGGATGACAAGACGGCCCAGCCAGTTTCACAAGAAATTGGCATGGGACAAGCCTACATCTGGTCTGCTGAAGTGCAGCATGTGCTGTGTTGTCCCTGAGTCCCCCAGATAATGTGCTCCACATTATACTTCCTTATTTAAATATGACGTATGCAGAGCACACTCGGCTCTAGTGCCAGTTCATTCCCTGCTGTGTTTCTCTTAGTCTCAGCTTCCTAACAAACATTGTGTATTGGTCTGACTAGATTAGAAAGTACATAACCTATAAAAGAACATGTAGTAATATTTCTGGAATTTACTGTTGATTACTTATCAATTCCCCACCTGTGCAAATTTAATTCACAACAAGTGTCAATACACTTTATGTTCCCACACCTTGGGGCAAAGTTTCGTGACAGTGCTGAAAAGCTTCTAAGGTGCCAGTCTGTACAGGACAATTCTTCATTACATTTAGAAATTGTAGTCACATTAAGTCTGGCAACCTTGTTGTCACCTACTGTTCTATCAAGGACATGGTCACTAATACTCTCACAAAGGCTTTGCCATCTATGAAGGTTAAGCACTTTGCTTCTGCCCTTGGCCTTGCAAAGGCTTGAGGGGAAGTGCTGGATTTTGTGTTTGTGCACTCTCACACACATGTCTCAGAATGGCACGGACTCCTATTGGACAGGATTTATCAGATAGCATGTTTGTTATTTTGTTTCTGACTAACCAGTTGCTAAGGCACCTGCCACTTTCCTTATTTACTTGCTTTTCCTGTTGTGCATGCTCAGAGACCTCCTTTCTTCTGAGCATGTATATATCATCTCATTGTTAACACTGTAGAGTACTGACTGTATTGCAGTACAGACTGAGCATCTGTTCTGCTAGCCTCAAGCACACCCGACAGTCAAAGCCAGGCCCTGCATGTGGGGAGCTCATCTATGGAGAGTTTCTAGACTCCACCCAATATGCTTAGCATCACAGGACTCACCGCTGGTGAGCACCACAACACATTCTGCTAGTTGCTGCAATGTGATCGCAAATGGCCAGCGCTGCATATATGGCACAATAAGCTTGCTAATAGTATTAAAGTGCTGTATGCCTAATGCAATGAGCTCACTAGCACACATAATGCTACATGCAAAGTGATATAACACTGGTCTATCATTTTCATCTACCACATGGGAGCCTCTCAATTCTGGATGATTTCCAATACTATTGGTGGTGTGAACAGATTCAAAGTTAGTAGATCTATCCCAGATTTTGTCTCAGTTCATTGTGCCTCTCTTCAATTAGTAGTATTGCAGATACATTCTGCAGATGCTTAAACCTCTACCAGGCCATACCTTCCACCACTTGCATGGTCCCTTGATAGAGGTTGATTTGGCAAGTATCGGTCCTACTTATTTGTGCTTTGCCGGTTGTTACTTGAACAGTCTCAGAGTCAGTGGCACAGTGCGCGACGTCAGGGGCGCGAGGAACAATACGATTACAAATAGACAGCCCACGCCTGATCCTGAAGTGGCGCATCCAATTTGAAGGTGGCAGCTTGGAAGTAGAAGTGTACATGAAGCACATTAGCCATGTTCCAAACTTATAGCCTACATTATGAGCGAAGGTAACATCAACAACCACTGCATCTTTGATATGATGACGTCGGAGCTTGCAGGGCTTTCATTGCGCAGGGCCATGTTGTTATAGCCTTGCGGCGAGTGCACACCGACCCCGACGCCGTGAAAAGGACAGCGGCATGCACCGATGCGGGCCCGCGGAGAATGAGCGGCGGGCCGCGGCAGGCGCGTCGACCGGAGGGCTGGGTAGTCTACACAGAATGGATAAAGCTGCTGGAGTCAGCGACGGACAGCACGCGGGGCCAATCGTGGTTAAATTCAAAACGGAGGACACGGTCGAGCTCTGTAGACGGCACAGTCCTACACAGAAGAGCCAAACTCGCGAGCTGAGTGCGCAAGTATCGACAGAGAACAGCGCATCACAAGCTCAGCCATAGACGCTGCTAAGTAAGTGGAATGAGTTGAGAGATGCTATTATGCGTCACATACCTTGTCCGTCCTCAGAGTCAGGCCGCCGAGGCACTCCATGGCATCTTGACATCTCGCCAGACGCCGCGCTGGCAGAGGACACGGTGTGTAAGATGGCCTTGAGCGGGAGGTAACACAAAATCGGACGAAAAGCTGAAAACACAAAATGGCGTGTGGTTCAAAGCGCGCACCTCGACTGCGAACAAGCCAGCGGCTGTGCGCGCCGGGAACAACACGAGATTTCGAAACTGTTTGCTATATGTGTTGCAACAAGCGTAACCCGGAGCCGTGATGATCTTCGTCGCACAGTACCTTTGAGATCTGACGGCAAAGGGAATAGCGTGGTATTGCTGGTGTAAAGTCGCGAGGCTCATACGCAGGAGGTCTCCTGTAACCCTAGAGACATCTAAAGCAATCAAACTTGCCACCAGCGCAGTCGAGGACTCTGATACCCCACGCACAGTCCGTCGCGATATTGTTAGTAAATTCTGGAAATACTGCTCGTCGGCGGTGCATCGCAAGGCGCTGTGCATCACCGCCTGCGCGTATTACGTAAGCGATATATTACCGCATGCCTGGGACTGACGTTGGTTCCGCTTCGCCCGCCCCCAGCCCTCGCTCGTTTGCCACCTCCTAATTCTCGTCTTTCGTCGTTGCCTACGCTGTTCTGAGCATCGTCTAACGCTCCAATGGTGCGGGCTCCCCCAAAGGCTCTCAAACTTGGCAAGGCTCTCAAGACCGCCGCTCGACTTCCCGTGCGCGTCTCGACAGGCAGAGCAAGTGGCAGGCACACTTTCTCGCCCCTTCCAGGAGAGAGCCCAGCGGTCATCCTTCGCATTCGAGTCTTGGGTTGCAGAGATTTGCTGGCAAAAGATAAGAATGGTGCGAGCGACCCGTACGTATTGCTGACATCCCTACTCCGACATCTTCCTTGACCATCTCCATAGATTCGTCGTGGTCTCGGTCTTGAGCAACAAGCAGCAGACACCTGTCGCAAAGCGCACTTTAAACCCCACATACTCTGCGAAAGATGCCACGTTTGACTTTTCCTTACATTTATCGCTCGCCGAGAAGCTCGGTGGCATAGAGCTCGTTGTCTGGGACAAGGACATGCTGAAGAAGGATTACCTTGGCGAAGTTGCGATACCTCTGGATGGCTGGTTCCGTGATGATAACGCATACTCCTTTGATGACCCTAATAATATGGTACGGCTATTCGCTATCCTCTCCGCGCTTGTCACTCAGCGCAGACTTAGCCATTCACGTTCAACGTGGTGTCTACCCGAAGCTCGACTCATGCAACCGGTACCATACAAGTAAAACTCGGATTTGTACAACCACCAGATGCCGTCGCCCACCGCAACTTTCATGGTATCTATACAGACCTTGTCAAGCTCTCAAGGCCAAGTCTTGTATCCGCACCACCGACCGAAGGTATTGGCACTACCCGGTCGCACGAAGCTGGACCTGAGTTTGAGGACGACGGGCTAAGCTCAGACGAAGGCGATTCTGCCTCCGACCTGGAAGACGATGAAGCGGCTATCATGTCTCGTTCGCGCGACGCGGCGACAACGCCGCATGCCATGCCAGACCCGACGCTCACGCCAAGTCCTACGCTTTCTGACACGCAGATGACACCGACTGCCTTATCGACGATGAAAAAGCTGCCCGCCAAGCGTCGGTCGCCGTCCTTTACTAAGAAGTTCCATCTGCGCCGGCCAAGCAACAAACGATCTTCGTCGCTTGACTCGACCACGATGCCCTCAACACTGTCTGGGTTGCCATCCATCACGAACTTTCATACCGACGCTCCAACACCTCCGCTAACTCCACCACCCAGTGCCGTAACCGTACGTCCTCCTGCAGGAGGTAAGGCGCGGTTCCCGAAGTCGTGGGGTGCCAAGAGCAGACACTACAACTTCTCTGCGAGCAACGATATCATCGGCATCGTACTATTGGAGATCAAGGGGGCGACGGATCTACCAAAACTGAAAAATAGTAAGTACTCATGCGCAAAGCGATGGTTTGAAGGCTCACAAGATACAGTGACGCGTACGGGCTGGGACATGGACCCTTTTGTCGTCATCTCTTTCGGCAAGAAGGTCTTCCGTACTCGCATTATAAGGCACTCGCTCAATCCGAACTGGGACGAGAAGCTACTCTTCCACGTACGACGGTATGAGAGCGCCTTCCAAGTACACATGACGGTCCTCGACTGGGACAAACTGTCGTCGAACGACCATGTTGGCGCCGCAAGTTTCTCAGTCTCGGAACTGCTCGCGAAGGCTCCGAAGAAGGACGACAAGACTAGGCTGTATCCTGAACATAACGACGGCACCCAAGACAGCCTGCAGGAGTTTGTCTTGCCTCTCCAGACCGAACAGCAGATGCCGTGGGAATCGAAGCACAACCCGGTGCTCACCGTCCGTGCCAAGTACCAGCCGTACGATGCTCTACGACAGCGCTTCTGGCGGCAATACCTTAAGCAGTACGATACCGACGATAGCGGCACAATCTCACGCCTTGAGCTTACATCGATGCTCGATTCGCTTGGCTCAACGCTCAGCCGAGAGACCGTCGACTCTTTCTTCATTCGCTTTGGCAAGGAGCCCAATGAAGTCCTCACTGTTAATGAGACGATTCAATGCCTCGAAACAGAACTCTGTCGTCCGCCTTCGGAGAAGAAGCGCATTGACGTAGACGACACCTCGTTCGACACTAGTGCGCCGGTCACTCCGAGCGTACTGGGCAGCAATGAGACACAGTTCGGCCTCAACCTCGACAAGCTTGATTTCTCCGGTCCGCCCCAGAATATTCCCACGCCTGATCCTGAGCCGCTTCGCAAGCCCACGCAACCAGCCCCACAGCCGACAGCACCGTCACAGCAGCCTCTCCACGAGGTTTTGGGGCTTTCCCGGACATCATCGCCGCGTAGTGTAGGCTTCGGTCGACAGGCGTCGTCGTCGTCATCGTCGGATGCAGAAGACTCGTCTGGCTCTATCTCGGGATCAGGATCGAGTTCGCCTGCTTCGGATGTGTCTTTTGAGCGCGTCATCAACGTCAAGAGCTGTCCGTTGTGTCATCGCCCCCGGATGAACGCAAAGGCGGAGGTCGATATCGTCACTCACCTTGCTGTCTGCGCGAGTCAAGATTGGGCGAGGGTCGACCGGATTGTCGTCGGTAATTTTGTCACGGCGAGTCAGGCGCAGCGTAAATGGTATACCAAAGTCATCTCAAAGGTCTCAAGCGGCGATTATCGCCTCGGCGCGGTACATATCTTTGTCGGTTCCGCTTGTCAGTTATATACTGATCGACAGCACAGAACTCAGCGAATATTATTGTGCAGAATCGCATGACCGGCCAACTCGAGGAGGAGAAAATGCAGGTGTACGTACGCCTGGGTATCCGTCTCCTGTACAAGGGTTGGAAGAGTCGTATGGAGGGTGCTCGTGCCCGCCGGTTGTTGAGATCACTTTCAGTCAAGCAGGGTATAAAATACGATTCACCCGAATCTGCACGCGATATCTTGCCCTTCGTCGAGTTCCACAAACTGAAAGTCGACGAGATCTTGAAACCGATCGCAGAATTTAGTGAGCGGTACCATAGCTTTGCCTCGGCTAAGCACTAACAATACATCTGGCAGAGACGTTCAACCAGTTCTTTTACCGCGAGCTCAAGCCGGGTGCACGACCTGTCGAAGCACCGGACGACCCATATCGTCTCGTCAGTGGTGCCGACTGCCGTCTCATGGCCTTCGAGACAGTTAATGAGGCGACGAAGCTATGGATCAAAGGCCGCGAATTCTCTGTGCAGCGCCTGTTAGGTGAAGCCCACGCATCGGAGGCTGAACGCTACAACGGCGGCGCCCTATGTATCTTCCGTCTCGCACCCCAAGATTACCACCGCTTCCACTCGCCTGTCGATGGCGTCATCGGACCCATAACACATATTACTGGCGAATATTACACCGTCAATGTAAGTCTTCTCCCCTTCATAATATGCTGTTACTGACGTTGCTGCAGCCTCAAGCTATTCGGACTGCCCTTGACGTCTACGGCGAAAACGCACGAAAAATTGTGCCGATCGATAGTCCTCAGTTCGGGCGTGTTATGGCTGTCTGCATTGGTGCGATGATGGTTGGGAGCATCAAGACGACATTAAACGAAGGGGATCAAGTCAAACGCGGGCAAGAGTTTGGCTACTTCGCGTTCGGCGGGTCGACTATCGTCGTCTTGTTTGAGAAGGGTGTTGTCGAATGGGACGAAGACCTCCTCATCAACGGCCATGCATGCCTTGAGACCCTGGTTCGTGTTGGCATGGGTATCGGGCGTAGTCGCCACTCGCCGTCACCGTAGTGCCCTCACCCTACCACTACCGTTAAGTCTGCACTCGATGACCACCACAGACATTTACATCGTTCATCCGGATCGTATCTGATATAATGCATTCCTTCGTTGCTCCACCTGCATGCATGTTCGTCCTAATGCCTCTACAATTTAGTCCAAGCTGTGAATTATTGCATTTGTCCTCCAATCCTGCATATTGCATACATTACGATGTACATACGATATATAATTGCTCTAGTGCTCAGTCTCCGCTTCCGATACTGCATCAATATTATGTGCGGTGCCAGATGGACTACTCATGCTATGACATACGAGTCCTCTCTAAGTTCTACAAAACCGGAGCACACTAATACTGTGCTACGGCCCGGGCGTGCTAGCAGCTGAGGTACTCGCATTTTTTCGCTGCAGGCACTGTTAGCTTAACACTTTGATTGGTTTCAGCCTTCTCCATATACGGTACGGTGAGATGGCCGAGCGGTCTAAGGCGCCAGACTAAGGATCTGGTCCGAAAGGGCGTGGGTTCGAATCCCACTCTCATCATAATTTTTCACACCTTTTGCTCATATACTACAACGAACCACGGCGAATCCACGCGCGTTTTCGGACTGGCAGTGGCTGCCCAAACGAGAGCCGGCTAAAAATGTCAGATTACTGCTGCCTTCGCCCAGTTCTCGGCCTGCTGCTCGATGCACTTCATAAGACGATGGTGTCACGCAAGCGCGTCCTTACAAAGAATACTGCACGTCTCGCGAATCCTAAGATCGTCCACAAAATTTGCAACCGAAGACGCGCACCGAGCTAGTAAGGTTGTGCATCTACCATCCGGATACGCGCCTGGAGGCCGACGTCGAATAACATCCGCACAAGTCGGCGTTGGTGCTGTCATTTCGTCTACCGGCACTGGACACCTACCTCAATGCAAGTGCGAAAGGTCGAGCAGAACGCGCGAGAGTGAGGGTGCAGTCAGAGACACGTATCGACATCCGCCAGTGACGGATCAGAAGGTTGTGTCTGGATTCTGTTAGAACCGTCACAATAAATACGTCGGACCGTCGAGCAAGGATACGGATACCAACTTGTTACGGCGTGGCCGCCACGCCCACATGCCCACTGCAGCCTTCCAGGTATGTTCGCACGAGATCTGCGCCTCGCGTATGATCCGCAGGCACAAGCATGCCTGGAAGCAGGACCAGCAAACCTTCTGAAGTCTGGCGCGGATTTCATATGGGAGGGTAAAGGCTGACATTAACTCGCGGGCGGAATCATGTGTCTCGCGTTTAGAGCTACAAACCACGAGGCTGAGGCCGGGACTACACAGTTCTGTGGACAGTCAAAGTAGACTGACCCAGTGCGGTGCGCACTTAGGATGGCATGGGTAGCCACCGGCTCGGGAAGCCGAACGAACTGCGCAAAGCTTCCGGCCCCAGCCAACAACCAGCCGCGAACTCCACTGCAGCGTGGCCGCCACAATGCCTCCGGAATCCATAAAGAAGGCAGGATAAATGCCTTCGGAACAAGTTGCAGTGATATCCAGAATGTGGGATTCTGTAGAGACCGTCGGGGATAACGTCAACTCGGAGGGGGTGTGAAAGAGACCAAGAACGGGTCTGTCCGTTTGGCGATCGAATGTGCGAGACGAAAATAGCAGAGGTGGGGAAGGAGAGCAATGACCATTATTGTTAACTGGTGGGCCGGGTTGGCTAACTTGCGAAGTGTCCGCTACGCCGACCCGGCCCCTGAGATTGAGAGACCGGATTCGCAGTGTCTATCCGATAATAGATGAAACCTGACACTGAAGAGACTGTTGCTGTAACAGCGATAGAACGGACAGGCCCTTAGATATCAGACATGTGCGTACCTCTAGCCCGACACATGTGCTGAGCGCTGAGATCTGGGAGCGCAGCCAGGGGGCGTAGCCATGGCACCACGACAGAGAGAACTTGTTATCTGCTGCTGCTGCTGCTAGGCATGGTGGACGATCCTCGAAAGTATATCATGTTCGTAGGTATGGAGTTAAGGCTATAAATCGCCGATGCTTCGCTTGTTGTCCGCCAGAAGTGGCAGTCTAAGGAGACTTTACAGCAGTACGCTTCCAGATGAGACACGTCCCACACCAAGTCTGATGTGTCCAAAATGAGGGTTGTGACCATGTCAGGGCATCGCCTAATGCAGCGTGCAACAATGGAACCGAAGAGTGCGCACTCCGCGGAACGTGTCGGCCAAGTATGTGCCAGCGCGACGCCCTCTACTAACTGGTTGGTGCAAGCCTATCGGCGCCATCCCGCCCGTAGCGGATCGGCACCCGCCCTGGGTTCGTCGCGCTTTCAAAATCAGGTACGGAACCAGGCTATCCACCGAGGCCGGCGCCGAAGAAATAGACAAAAGGAATCTGCTGAGAACGGAAAGAGATGTGTTAGAGAGTGTACGTGTGCAACGTGGCCGGGCTGCGTTAGCTTCGCGTGCAGGCCAAGGCCTGGAGGAACGGGAAGTTGCATGGGACTTGGAGGCGCCAAAATTCCCGGTGTTTGTCTTCGGGCGCACATTTGCAGGCGCCCAAAAGAGCCCCCGCACCAAGTCAAAAGCGCTTGGCCCTCACTCTCTCCTTCCCGCACACCACCACCTGCGCGCCCCCTTCTACATCGCACGACCCTTCACGCAACATGCGTGCCCTTCGATTACTATCCCGCCGTACATCGGCGAAAGCGCCAGAGCCACCTCAGCACTCGACCGCCGACGACCACGTAGCTGCGACCAAGCCGCTGTTCGCGAAAGCCTTCAAGTTGGTGGGCAAGCGGTTCAAGGTTAAGAAGTAAGCTTCTACTCGAGCTATATCTTACTCTTTGCCTTCCGCCTTTTGTTCCTCTTCTCCAGACACTCTATTATTGTGTCACCGGCTTCGACGTGAACACGCCACGCTTGCTACATGGGAACCTTCCCAATCATGAGCATAGACTTTCTCATGTCCTATATGCTCAGCAGCCCACCTATCACAATATTCCGTTTCCGCTACACTCATTTTCTCTCTCTCTATCATCGTGATGTCCCAAAGCGCGTCGTTCAGCAAAGATTATACGCCTACGATTAGCTGCCTTCATTCCGTACATGTATAGCTCTCTGTAGCCTCAGGTCACTAATGACGACGACTCACAGGAAATTGCCTCCACAAGCCCCGGCAACAACGACTAGCCTTCCTCACCTTCCTCCGGAAATCTGGGGTGTGGTCATCAAACACGCCTGTTCCCAGGACTGCGACCTGCTAAACGCGTCACATCAACTCTCCTTCCTCGACGACGCCTCCACTCGCTTCGACTCGTACCGCGTGGCGCTCAGAATGATGCTCGCGCTTTCGCGTGTCTGCAGGGCATGGCACGCGTACGCTATTGAGCATCTCTACGAGTTCATCTGGATATCCAGCGCCGTACAGGCCAAGAAGCTCGCCCACACTCTCATTATGCAAGCCCTTCAATCGCCTACTTGCACCTACGGTTCTTTCGTTCGTCGCATTCACATTCAAACTCCCGTGCTCGAACGTTGCGCTCCTGCCGACCTTTTGTCCATCGTCGAACTCACTCCCAATCTCGTCATCTATTCAGACTATCATTCACTTCAGCGTAGCCTCTACGACGACGGCCCCGATCCACGATGCAGTCCTGAAGCTATTCTGAAGCTTGTTGCGAACCCAAAGATCCGCAGACTTAGCTGGACCAGTTACGGCGATGCGCCATTCCAGCAGCGCATGACACCGCTACTTACAAATTTGGCCATCCAGCTTGAGTACCTTGAGCTGTCCTCGTGTTCCCCAAATTTCCGCGCCATGTTCTCGCAATCGACGACGGCCGGTACGAAGATGGACGTCCGATTACCCTCGCTCAAAGCCCTCAAGGTCTCGCTGGACAATAACACCTTCGCTGTCCTCTCCAGTTGGGACATGCCGAAGCTCACAAACCTTTCGGTACTCTCTTCTGATTTCAGTTACACCGGTCCCGGCTTCGCGTCCTTCTTCCAGGCCCATGGCGTGAAGCTCGTCCAGCTCGAACTTGGCCATTCGTCCTCGCTGATCGAGAAACACTACCTGACAGCGCCGCAACGCACGCAACCAGTGACCCCCGTGCCGCTCGCTACCTGGTGCCCGAATTTGCGAGAGTTTATCTGCTCTGCCGACGCGGAGTGGCACTGGCAGTCTCCAGATTGGATAACCGCACATATCCTCCTCCCTGCGCACCCGAACATCAAATTCATCGGTATCCGCGATCTCGACGCGCGCATGCGCGGTGACCCAGACGGATTCTCGTGCGAGCCTTTCTTCACGCTCTTTGAGCTCCTTGCGAGCCTTTTGCGCAAAGACGCGTTCCCGGAGCTGAAATACTTGCGCGACCTGAGCTCCGAGAGCTACCGCATGCGCTCGTATCGCCCACATCCACGCGTGCGCCAGTTTTGGGAGCGCGTCGTCGAGCTTAGCGGCAAGCGTGGAGTCTGGCTAGAGGACTGCCACGGCTTCAACATCAACATCCGCACTCTCCTCCGTGCTGAGCGGACACATTTCGACTAACGCCCACCCTCATCCCAGACACTCGGATTCCTTCGTATGCTTTCATGTTCTCGTGGTGCATCTCTATCTCCATCATCGCCTAGGCTCATTGTACTATAGCATGGACTATCTTGATACCTCGCCTTCGCTTTTTGTCTTATACTTCAATGCTCTCTTGGATACCCCCGTCATATAGCGCTCCATTACCGCTTCCCACATTCAACTTGTCCGATGCACTTTTATTGTGGCATAACTCCTGAGTCTTCTGCATCCTGTCGCATACGCCCGCCCCTCGGCTGTCGCATGGCCCTTCCATGCGCACCCAACTGTAGCCCTCATCCCCAATATGTTCATACTACCGTCGACTTTATGTCACCGTCAACTAGACTTCAACCACTTAACTTGTGTCTATCTCCACATGCCTGATGACTGGCGGAGAGGGTGAGATGCTATACATTATGAGATTACTCAAGTTTAGATACAACGTTAAACGCCGAGAATCCGCTTCCCCCATTGCCACACCGCAAAACTCACAGCCGTCATCGGTACGATCTTAAGGTATCCGATGCTGAGGCCAACGTAAAACCCGCGCCAGCCCTTCTGCTGCCAAATCGTGCCCACGGTCTCGCCCCATCGCATCCAACGGTCCGGGTGAGTGAGACCGCCGACCTGCATGCGTCGGCGAACGACCTCAAACGGGTAGGAGGCTGTCTGGGAGACAGTACCCGCTACGGCACCGATGATAAGGTCGGCAATGGGCGTCGGGTGGCGCTTCGTGCCCGTGCCGTCGGGTGACGGGGGTATAAATTGGGCGCGGAGGAAGCCCCAGGTGAGGAAGGACGTGCCGGCGTAGGGCACCATGCCTGTAAGAGTGACTGTAAAGCCGCGATAGAACTTGAGGACAGGGAAGCGTGTGAATAATGTGGAGGCAGTAGGGGATGGGGATGAGGACGGCGCCTTTGGAGCTTCACGGTAGACTTCAGACGCAGCTTGAAGGAATGTAGGTTTAGAAAGGCGGCCATTGTTGGTCGATCGAGTGTGGTAAGCCATGCGGACGCGAATGAGATCTAGAGGATAAGTGAATAGTACAGATGTCATTCCTGCGTAGATGGTGTCAGCACGCGTTTGCCATAGAGAAGTAAGTGATGTTGGCCACAGTGTTACGCGGGACCGCAGGCATAGCTCGAGTTCCAGAACAAAGGCATAAGCGCAATGCATCCCCGATGCCACAGAGCTACATGAACAGACGCATCAGATCATGCTGGAACTTCGTCGGTTCATAAGCGTGCTGGCAGCTCTCTGGAGGACAAGTGCAGGGTCCTCGGACACAGCAGCTTTCGGAATGCTTCTAGTAAGGCCCAATGATGTGAGAACAAGACATCCTGCTCCCGACAGCTGACCACCTTCATCTGTTGTCTGGAGGGAGAGTGGGGAGACGACACTATCCAGCGCTTGACGAAGAGAGGCAGGAGCAACCGCAGTCACCCCTCTTCAACCATCTTGGACGATGCACGCATATAGCTGAAGCCCCGCCTTTGTGCTATGCCTGGGAAGTAGGCCGCAACTATCCGCAAGCGATCGAACTCGAGAGACTAATACACACCAGACAGTGCCCCCGCGAGGAATCTTCGCATGTTAGTTTGTTGTGCTCTTGTAGGCATTAATATCTGATGATCATCAGTATATCGTATGCACAAGTAGCAGTAGACCCACATGTTCTATTTGGTCATACGCCATGAACTTAATGGCCGCGTACGGGAAGATACGCAGTAGGGTCGCAGAGTGGCCCTGGAAGAGCCCCATAACTCCGTTCTCTCTGTAGATCTGTGAACCAGCACTGAACGCGCCACTCCATGTTCCTGGCAGGAGAAGTGAGTGCACATACACACAAGCAGGGTGCAGTGAGGTGGCGTACCGGCGTATTTGCGAAAGTCAGGGTTGGATGCCTGGAAGAGGATCTTGACTCTGTCAAGTGGCGCAACCACCGTCTTTGCCTGCATAATCCCAGCTCAGCAGTGTCCCAACAAGAACCAACCTGAGTAAGAGCTCACGACGCAGCCTGCAATCCCCCCCGCCAGTCCGGAGCGTACGATGTAGTGTAGACTCTGCTTGTCATGCTTGACCGCGTCATGGGAACTCATTCGTTGCAGCCTGCGCACAAATTCAGGTCATGTAAGATGTAAGAGAAGAGAAAAGAGCCAGAGGAGGGTGAACGGGCTCCAAGAAGGTGGACTCGGGATTTCGGTTATGTCACCCCCGCATCGGGGTTAGGGTCCGAGGCATTCCCCGCACTCGCGCCGCTGTAAGTGGAGTTTGTGTAGACCCGGCCAACCGCATTGAACGACATCTTCGTCCTTACCAGCTCCGACCTAGATTGCGCCGGAAAACTATCGTAGAACACTGATGTCCAACAAGCCAAAGCCCGAAACGAAGGTCGTGGTGCTGAAGGGCCAAGAAGGTGCGCTTGATGCGTGCGCTCCGTCCGCCATTTCCTGGTGAATCTCATGACCTACCAGCGGAGGACACGGTTCTCGCGTACATCAAACGGGCATGCGAACTTTGTTCCGAGATGTCGTGGATGCATACTTATGAGCCCCGCTGTTGACAGATGAATCGCCCCTTTGGCGCAGTTGATGTCGCCGCGAATCTGAAGGGCGCAGTCCCGAAGACGGCGACGCAAAAAATTCTAGCTGCACTGGCAGAGAGAGGAGAACTGGTACAGAAGACGTATGGTGCGCTCTCTGACTCATGTATGCGGGGACAAAGGGCTTTGGCGACCGGTGTATGCTAGGCAAGACAACATTCTTCGTCGCCAATCAGGCAAATCTCGAGGACATGCCTGTGGAGAAGCTGAAGCAGCTCGAGAACGAGCACAAGGCCGTCGAAGAGGCTAACAAAGCGCTTACGGCCGAGCTGAAGGCTACGAACATAGGTACGCTCCGCAAGCATTGCGCATAACGCCCACTCAGCACCGCAAAGAACTCGCTAAGCTGAAGATAACACCTACGGACGACGAGCTGGAAACCCAGCTACATGGGACTGCAACCAAGGTACGCCGCGCGGCCTAGATGTATATTCTCTCTCTCTCTGAGCGCCCACAATAGATTAGGAAGTGCACCGCCCACCTCGAGCCACTGCGTTCAGGATCGTCGCTGGTCTCCGCCGAAGACCTCGCGCAACTTGACAAGGACTGGACACAATGGCGCGCCGAGTGGGTGCGGCGCAAGAAGGTCTTCAATACGTACGTGCTTCGCCCCACTACCTAACCAGTCTTCTTCTCGGCAGCTCCTGGCAGTCGTTTGAACCTTCATGCTCTATGAACTCTCTGGCCTTGCGACTGGCGCATACATTGACTCTGGGTGCTAACGTACTGGGTTCTACTTGACGACCGCAGGTTCTGGGCTCTGGCGACCGACCCGCTGACACCGCAAGATGCCTCGGCACTCGCTGAGGATCTGGGTGTTGAGAATGACACGAGCGAGCATACGGCGCTAGAAAAGGGTCCGCTGTGCACACCTGCGTCGGTGCTGGGAAAGCGCAGTCGATGATAATTTAGCGTCTGTTCGTGAAAGCCTAGAGAGCACGCGCTGTAGTATATACTCGAGTGCAATGTGGACATGCTGGTATACTTGTTTGAATTTTCGTTGAACACAGACATGTGGAGGAGCCCGCTCGTGCGAGCATCACGAGTCGCCCTTGACAAGCTACACAGCCTGCATTCTGGACGCGTCGGCAGAAGGACATGCCAGAACATTGGGCACCATCAATGAGTGCGACGTCGACAAGGCAACAATGACGTTAAGGCGACAAGAAGATATTTTTGTGATCGTAGAATACGCGGCAGAGTAATATACGCGAGACGCGATCGAGAGACATGCCCGGTCATACGCAGAGAGAGAAACGCAACGCGGGGCGTGATGAGCAGATAAATGGTAGATGTATGCACTAGCCTAATCATCGCTTAAAGGCTCAGGCTCACTGGTGGCGGTCTCATCGCCGGATTTCTTGGCCTTGGCCTGCGGCGCCTTTTCAGCCTTCGGTTTGGGTTCTTGGCTGCGCTTTGGATTTTCTGGCGCATCCTTCCAAAGCGCACCAACCTAGAGAAACACGGTGAAGTTAGCAGATGCTGAAAAGAGAGAATAGTGGGCGCATACAGCCTTCATGATATCCTTTTGGAGAACATCGGGGTGTTCTTCTTTATATTTCCTGAGGTTCTCCTTCATCCATAGATTGTATGCACTTGGGGCGCGGGTGCCTGAGGACGAAGTCAGTCGGGTAGATAGAAGACAGCGCATACACCCACTCTTTCCCTTTGCCTTTGTCTTGCCGTCTTTGACGGCCTTAGTAGCAGCTCTAGACCTCGTCTCTGCAAGCGCCCCTGATGAGACGCATCGATGCCCGGATCGTGAATGACTAACCTGTCGCTGTCTTAACCATCGTGGGGAGTGGAGGCGGTGGTTTCGATAGGGGTGAGTCTTGACGATGGTGGCTGAAAGAAAGAGGAAGCAGTTGAGTGTAGAGCAACGTTCGAGGCTTAAGTACTCCTGGCATGACAGCGTCGAGCGCGGTCACGTGGGATGATCGTGTGCAATGCGCGTGGATCGGTTCTCGGTAGGTGCCGGGAGTAACCAGCTGATCTATGCGGAGTCTGAAATATTTTTTGTATATAAGTTTGAGCGTCACCACCATCGTGAAGACAACGTTCTTTTCTCTTTCTCTCACCGTCTACGTTAGTCCCCGCTGACTCGGTTTCGTCTCCCTCGCGTAACACACAACTAATATCCACGGACAATGTCCCGCGTCACTCTTTCTTTACTCCTGACGGCTGCCGGTGTCGTCGTCGCGCAAGCACCGACCTTCATCTGCAACCCTCCCCTCTTCAGCCTGCAGTTTGACTATCCAAGTGGCATTGTAAGTGTTTGTCCGTCAATTCATCCGCCTACCCATACGACTCCCTCCTACGCCGGCGTAGGCAAGTTGTGCAACCTGTATGAGGGCCGCGATACATGAGTGGCTGAATTCGTCGCCGTCGACCTTCGCTTTTTTGGTTCTGATGGCGGAGCCCTTTGCTAATTGTTTACTTCTCAGCCTCAACAAGTCGAGCCCCAGGCACAGGGCCGTGGCCCTCAGAGTGGATACAATGTGTGTAATTCCACCACCCAGAACCAAGATTCCATGTGTCAGACTGCATTGGTCAACCACATCGACGGTATGTGTTTATTGTTCCGGGGCTTGTGCCACGCTCATGTTGGATGCAGATTTTTGTCTATGGGCTCCGCCTACGGGGCCCACCAGCATTGGTGATTCCGAGGCCGATGAGGTTGCGTGGTGCACCCAGAACAAATACGGTACCCGTCTCATCCCCGAAGGCACCATTACTGGTATCCAGCTCCTTCAGGCGCCCACGTACAATATGATCTTCGCTTTCGTCGATCAGACGAAGCTCAACATGTTCGCCAACGACACCGGAGGCGAACTCGACCCTCGCGGTGCTGATCTCGTGAGTAGTGACCTATGTTTCACAACGCACAGCTGACATCTTGCCAGTGCGGCAACCCCTTAGGTGGTCTTCTCTTCTCCAACAACTTGCCCTTGAGCGGTAATAAGGACAACAGCACCTACACTCAGGTCGGCGACTGGACGCAGTAAGTTCAAATTTTCAATTGCGTGATGGCCTTGATTTAATGAATGTGTAGATTCATCGGCAACGGCATTGCTTGCATGAAATGGTGTGATCCGAAGGACCCCGATGCCGCCAACTATTGCTACAATCAGCTCGACCGCGTTGGCATCGACTACGTTTGTCCCCAAAATGCCCAGAACGGCACTTTCGAGGTTTGCGAATCAGATCCCATGCAGTTCCCTGGCGTCTACGTAACAAACGGCGTCACCACTTCGTACACCCAGCCCCCTGAGTCACTCGGCCCTATCACCACCATGCCGTACTCCGCCAGTATCCCTGCGTCGTCGAACTGTGTGACCTACCAGTCTTCCGACCTTTTCGCGGCGCTCCCCACTATCTCGGGTGCTGCCACTTCCGGTGCTAGCTCTGGGTCTGGGTCTGGGGCCCCTGCTGCGGCCACCGGCAAGCCGAGCAGCGGCGCATCTGCCTCCGGCTCGCGCACTGGCTCTGCTAGTGCTGCTCCCACTGGGGGCTCTGCTCAACCCGGCGGAGCTGGTGCTCTTCGCGCCTCTGCGTTCGCGACTGTCGCAAGCGTTGTCTTCGCCGTTGCCTTCTTCGCATAATGGATACACTCACGTTTAGTTGATGTCGAGTATGTCGATGAACTGGGTTTGGAGGCTCCGTATCACATTACCGGACTACTATTTTCAATACACTTGTTGCGCTAGAATTATGGGCGTGGTGTTTATACCTTAGGTTTTATATACCTTGTTACAAGCAGGGCAGGTATCACATGCTATTCATATTGAACGTTGGGTTGTTCGATGGCGGAATATGATGTTCGTTTGGGTTGTGGTTGGATGTTAACAGACCATGCTGAACGACAAACGTCAACGTTCAAGTACGTTGATAATGTGTGAAATTGTCAACGCCATGTTGCTGACTGTGAGCGGTGCGAAAGGCCTCGTCAACACGTGTCTAGCTCGGCTGATAGTACTTACACGCTCAGCAAGCTCCCTTGTCAATACGACCATCACTGCTGACTAAATGAGTACTGGTGGTAGCAAGGATAAACCAGGCTCCTTCGAACGCTGCAACAATTGCGAGACAAAGGCTGCGAAAGCGGACCTCAAGCAGTGTAGCGGGTGTCGGTGAGCCATAATCTCTCCCAGCTCTGGCCTTGTGACATCCCGTCAAGCTAATGCGCTCCCTCTTAACATGCAGACTCGTAAGGTACTGCTCAAAAGAATGTCAACGCTCGCACTGGCGCATGCACAAGAGAGCCTGCGCAGTTGGCAGCACCACCCGGCAGGAGCTGGCTGAGACCAATCCGCAGGCTCACGACGAAATGACAGCCATCGGCAAGTGGCTTACGTACTGGCGGTCAACGCTGTTCGAGTACGGCTTGTATGCCATGGACTTGGCAAACCATCCGCCAGAGAGGCTGGCGACCCATATGTACGTCAGCGATGGTAGCGTGACGCGCGGAACGTGCTGAATCATCTACGGTGTTTCTCGCAGTGCGTTCGTTGAATTTATATTCGGGGAACCGAGAGGGCGACATCGGTTGCTGCAGGTGCGTCGCCACAGTTGTTTGTCGTACTTTTGGTATGCCATTGAATGGCTTGGACGTTCCGCTACTAGATGCACGCTGCAATGGTTATCCCACGCGAGCGCTTTATCGACATGATGCAAGAGCAAGGCGTCACGAAAACATACGTTGACGACAATCGCGGGCCTGACGTCTTGCAGATTACATTTGTTGTCAACGGACATATACGCACGCTCTGGGCGGCCATCGGCGATCTTGAGTCTTGGCGAAACGAAGACAAGGCGATATCGCGCCGTCGGGCGCAGCAGTGGGCCGAGGTGCTAAGTGAGAAACTTGAGCGTGGACGGCCGTCGATTAGCAATGAATTGTAACATACCTGAGTCGCAGAGTTGGTGATCGGCATTTTAGTAGACGCAGTTAGTCTCTGTTTTGGTAATACTTACCGCCTGGTACATTCTATGGCGTGCAATGACCAGACAGTAAATAATTTGTGAGCATCTATACTCGTTAGAAGCTTACAGTGATAACCTTCTGGCGCTCTTGTTCAAACTCCTGTGTCTCAAGGTCCGAGGGAGTTTACTATAGTACCAGGATTCCAGATTACCCAGGCTTCTCTAGCCTTAGACTTTATCCGATCGTGTATTCTAATGCGACGTCGAAAGCCGTGGGTATACGTGGCTCACGAACCAGTCTGCAAGACGAGTGTTGCAGCCTAAAGATTTCGCTTAGAAAATGAATCCCGGTTAGCATCCGATCGACCACCTCTGTGGTCAATCACGTATGCTTCTCCTGGGAATGGGCAGAAGATTCGTCGGTAACCAGGTCATAGGCTCCATTCAGACATCGGGTATATACAGCGTGCGAATAAAGGTAAGTATCGTAAGCTGAATACGCACTGCAGCAAAAGACGATGCAATGATGGAAACGAAGTGATATATTATGTCCCTCAGCCACTCTGCCCAAGTAGCTCCTCGCCGGGCGAACACATCGTTGGGAACTGTCTTCCAGTCAGCCGCGTAGTGGACGCCACATTTGAAGGGTATCATTGCCGGTGCAGACCTGAAGTACGTCTCCCAGCACGTCGGTGTGGAGCGCGAAATATTACCGACAAGCTCCAGGTGGATTCCGGCACTCCCGTACTTATGAGGAGTCCAGCGAGATCTTTCGTCGGTGCGACATATCCCTCGTTCACCTGCGTTGGCCGACACAATATTAATGTAAGCCAGGTGAAAGTCTAGGAGTGAAGGACGAATGGTTAACCACCTCGTCTGCTCAGACAGATGTAGATGCTTGTGGCTGGCGTCGAGGGACATTCTGGACAAGCCAATGAGATGAATTTGACCGCATGCATGATATTCCGATTTAACACGTGCGTTTTGAGTGGCAGGATGGTTGAAAAGGTCCACAGACACCAGGCCCGGTAAAGTTAGAGCTTCGGCCCAGGCACTTATCCACTTAATCACGTCCTGAAATTTGAACTTCTGATCATCTCTGCTTTTCCAGAAGAGGCGCAGCTGCACTTATACCGCGACCATGCGTCCTGACCATTATATTTCGCGAAGCGTTGATCAGACCGCAGAGTTTAGCCAAGCGCACGTCGAAGTTGAATGTTTTGTTGATATATAGAGACATACCCGCAACCACTGCAAGCCACGAGCACAGCGTTGGTAAAATGAACGCTGCAATTATTGCAGCGATTCTTCTCCGTGCTTGAAGCTTGTTGTAGTTTTGTGAGGTGAGCGTTCAGGCCGAGGGGCGTTTCAATAGCGCATCAAAGTCACGGGCTGTGGCGGATCAGATCCGCCTCTTCCCATTCCTAGGTATTGTACTTACTGTAATACAAACAATTTCGACTGAGACTCAACCACAACGATGACCCTCCCACAAACGCCGACGCGCCGCTTGCGTCGCGGACAGCCTGTTGCCACAGAATCGGCACAGCTTGATTATACTGCCAGCTTTTCCACCCACGACCCCGTATATATCCGAGAGGCGGATGTGTTTCGCGATCTACGCGACTTGCAGCGCCAAGCTATTGAAGACCGCGGCGGCCACAAGGCACTGGAAGGGCTACGGACGAATTTCTACGCGTCTTACAATCGTGGGAGTGGGGAAGAGGTCGGGATTAAGCGAGAGAAGAAGGTGTACAGTAAGCAGCAGGCTGCATTCGAGGAGTTCAACGTCGGCGATACCGTGCTCGTGAAGACCTTGAGCAAGAACTCAGCCGTGGGCGTCATTGTGGCGATAACGAAGGTCTTTTCCGGAGAACAGGAGCGGGGCGCGAATGTGCTCATACATTGGTTTTCGCGGCCGCAAGACCTGGCCAGATTACGCCCCCAGAGGGACATGCTGGAGGTGCGTAACACGCGTTTCATCCACCCTTCTGGTACTCAGTGACGTGTTTGGCCCTATAGAACGAGATATACTATCAGTTAGATGGAACGAGTTTGGTCTCTCCCCATGCCGTACTTGGTCACTGTACTGTCCTCTCACGTCCCAAAACGAACTGGCATCCCGACGACAAGACCTTCGTCTGCCTTTCAGCGATCTATGCGCGCATGAATCTCTACTACGAATTCGAATGGGATCTCTTTCGTGATAATGCTCTCTCAACATTGTCGTCTTTCAAATTCGCTGCCTCGGAGCCCAGTACCTCAAGACTCATCCAGAACCCCTGGGATCGCACTGATTCCTGGGACGTAGCACCCGGGGAGACGCCTGGCACACCAGCGAAGCCGAGGAGCCACTCTAAGTATACGTTCATGCGGACTCTCGAGGATCCGCTCGAAGAGCCGAAATTGTCTGCGATTGCCGAAACGGATGAAGAGGACGACAGACTGGGCTTTGCCGGAAAGAGAAAGCGACGAAGTTGTGAGAACGAAAGGGACGTCGAGCGAACGCGATATAAGGCTGGAGGCGAGGACAAGCTGCCCGTCTTGGGTCTGGACCCAAGCACGCCATCAAAGAAGCGTTCACGACCTGCGGAAAGGCCATCTTCGGGAGGCGGAAGCGACGACTTTGCACCGTCGGACTATCATGACGAGTCAGAACAGGATGCCAGCGACGGCGTCCTGACGGACGAAGACGCCTCTGTGCCGTCCGACCTTCCCGACTCTGATGTAGAGTCACATCCGCACACACCGCACCGTCACGCTAAGGCTGGCTCTGCAGGCTTATGTACACCGCGCCGTCGCGCGGTGGGCTCCTTCGCGGCGCCGACTCCACATTCGAAAGCCGCGCTACGTGCGCGCGCAAACCACAAGCGTGCACGGCAGCTTGCCGTGCGTCCACCTCCTGGTCCGGGACATGCCTCAATACAGGGCACGAACGGAGAGGATATGGACTTTGGCGGAGAGCAAGACCCATGGCTACGAGCGATGCAGGTGCTGCACGTCGCGTCGAGACCAGAGGGCATGGAGGCAAGCGACGAACGAAGCAGGGACATGCTGCCATGTCGCGAGGCCGAGTATGGACGCATCCTCGGCGCAGTTGAGGAATTGCTGGAAGAGGGTAGTGGTGGATGCGTCTGTGTGTGCTATTATTCCTTCGTACTTTAAGTCCTAACAACTACTTTAGATATTTCCGGCGTGCCAGGCACGGGAAAAACTGCGACGGTTCACGCTGCCGTGCGCGCGCTAACGGCGCTATCACAGCAGTCGCTTGTTCCGCCGTTCACCTATGTTGAGATCAACGGCCTGCGTATTCCCGAACCAGGCGCAGCGTATGGTCTATTGTGGGAAGCGGTTAGTGGACACGACGCGACCAAAGATGGACACCTTCGAATAAGTGGCAAGGAGGCGTTGCGTCGCCTTGGCAAGTGGTTCTCTGGCGGAGGTGGACCCGATGGTCACGCAACGTAAGCCACCATCACGTTTTAGAATTCGAAATCTGACCAGACACAGGATTGTGCTCATGGACGAGCTTGACCAGCTCATGACTGCGAAGCAGGACGTCGTTTATAACTTCTTCAATTGGCCAACTTTGGTTGGAAGCAAGCTGATCGTGCTTGCGGTCGCGAATACTATGGACTTGCCTGAGCGAGTCATGAGTGGGAGGGTACGCAGCCGACTAGGTATGTCTTTCGTCATGCTCTCGGTATGCAACTGATCTCGTGCAGGTATGGTTCGTATCAACTTCCAACCGTATACGACACCCCAGCTCGAGGCCATTGTCCGTGCCCGGCTCGCTACTGCGAAGCGCGGGCTGTTCGAGGGCACACCGGACGTCGTCGCCCCTGACGGTATCAAGTTTGCCTGCATGAAGGTCAGCTCGATCAGCGGCGACGCTCGACGGGTGCTCGACGTCTGCCGGCGCGCCGTCGAGCTCGTACAGCCGCAGAAACGTACAGCACGGACGGACGACGTGAAGCAAGTCATTCGGGACATGCAAAACAGCCCGACGGCAGCGTACTTGCGTGAGCTGTCGTTCCACGAACGGCTCCTCCTCGCGGCCATCCTCCGCTGCGTGCGCCGCGAGGGCGTCGACGAGGTGCGGTGGGCTGATATCCAGCACCAGCACCTCTTGCACGTCCCCGTGTTGGCGGGCGTTGCAGATGCGACTAACCGACCGACGCGCGAAGAGCTGCTCATGGTGCTCGAATCGCTCGCTGCATCACGCGCGGTGTTATGCGAAGACGGGCCGCAGGCGACGAGGAAGTCGGAGGACGATCGCAGAGTAATGCTGAACCTGGAGTCCAGCGAAGTGGAGCGCGTGCTTGGCGAGGTGGGCGGGGTGCGTTGGCGGAATGTGCTGAATATTTGATTATAATTGAAAGTGTAGTTGCCTGTTCAGCTGCCTTCTAATCCACGTACTTGCAGCCGTCTCAAACCAGTCCATACATATTATAGGACACCTCGGCCTCTTGTTGTGTTTTTGCAAGCGATCTATCCGGGTCCTGAAAAAGTCAGGTGACGGCTCCGTCACGGCAGTGTTGAATCCCTTGAAGCTCTTTAATTCGTGTTATTCCACGCGTATATATAACCTGTCGACACCGCCACGACAGATACCCAGACAGTAGTCATATTCGAGGGCACAGGCGTGTATAAGACAGCGCTGGCCAAAGAGGTTGGTCCAAATATCGATTCATTCCTTTCTTTCTGTCGACTCGTGTAGCTATACAATTGTAGTTCGCATTAATGTGTACGTAATCTTTTTGCCTTTAAGCCTCCGTGCCAAAATTCAACGTTTGTTTCTTGTGTCGGCTAGAGGAAGTAAATGTTATCTTGGAATATTGATTCGTTAGATGCCGGCAACCGGTGACCACAGAAATACGTCGAAAGCTCGTCGCCGGCAACGAGGCGTGTTTATCATGGCGATCCAAGTTAAAGCTACTGGACAAGGTACACTGTCCTCTTGCTTCGCAATTGCCAGTGTCAGTAGAATCAATAATGCGACGCATAGCTAGACGACCCCGGGGTGAATGGGTGCAATATGGCTCTAGCATCATTCATTCCTCTACATCACTGGCCTGGAAGCTGACAAAGTTGCATAGAGAGGGTTATGCCTTTGCTCTTGCCTACTCTGTAACTTCGCGCTCTTCGTCCAAGCGCATCCCGGAATGTCTGCATCAGCTCATCCACCGTGGACAACATCAGGAAAACCGCATCCCATGTTAGGAATGTTAGGGGATGTTAGAGATGTTAGACAACATCTGCAACCTCTAACAATCTCCCCCAACATGGGGTGTGATTTTCCTGATGAACCCAATCGTCATACTGTCTAGCAACGAATGGCAATACTAGGCAGCGCCGCGGTCTGTGCGCGAGATTGCACGGCGCAGAGCTCGCCGGTACACCCAGCTGTGATTCCGTGGAGACAAGTGTAAAGACAGCGATGAGTATCGATCGTACACCAGTACGGGTCGCAAGATCAGCCTGAGGCTAAGGCGACAGATCGGGGTAGAGAAGGAGATAAGATTACGGGAAATTTTTGGAGAGGCGCAGATCGTGGGTGCATTATCGTGTAAGTCATCGTAGGGAATTAAATTACAGAACACAAGCTCCTCAGGTTAACGAGCCTGCATCTCATGCGTACTTGGACACTGAAATATCTCCCCGCCCGTGCGTAGCGCGGGTCTCTCGTTAGAGAACAGATTTAGAGTATTTATCTAATTACAGTGCAAATTTATCGGCCGCCTGGCGAAATGGCATCGCGTCTGACTACGAATCAGGAGATCGCAGGTTCGACCCCTGCGGTGGTCATTTTTTTTTCTTTTTTCCTTTCCTTTCCTTTTCTCATTCTCTCTCTGCGTCGCTTACTCGCTGCGAGTTATAAGATCCGTGCCACTCCGACTCTCCAAGCCCTTGAAACTTTTCCGAGTCGCAGTTTGGACTGTCTTGAGGTGTTCTTTGTGGTAGATTCGGCTAGCACGGCTGTGCATTGTTCTAAGCTCGTACCGCGACGTGAGCCTCAGTGAGGTTTCCGCGCGGCGTCGCCTCAGCCGGCATAATCTCAGGTGTTTCTCGTGCACATCGCATCCTGATCTGCAAGACAAACATTGCATACAACTGTGAAGTTGATAGCTACCAGTCTGACATGCGTGCATACCCCGATAGAGAGCGCATACTATCCAGAAAAGAACACGGCTCGGGCTTCCTCCCACTGGCCTGCAATATTCGTTACGGCACATTGCGCTGTGGACATGTCCATCCTGTAACTCCAGCCTTGCCCTCTCCCATGGATGCTCCTGGTTTATTGCTGGGCTGGTTGTTTTCCGGAGCATCCTGCGGCTACACGGTGCGTTTGTATCGCTAGACGTGGACTAGCAGTCCAGCATTGTGGAACACTTGAGCCTCCTACTGGTACACATTCAACGCAGAGCGCTCGCGCGGTGATCCTGTACCCGGTCTGATAGAACTTTATGTGAAAAGCTGTGCTCGCCGGTGCCACGCTATATATCCGCCGTGACGAACCGCTAATCCTTCCTCTTCCCTCGCATGTCGAACTCCTGCGCAGCAGTCGTCTACGCCGAGCAGCTTGTTAGCCGCGGCTACGGGCTGCCTCTCTGGCACCCGGAGCCTGCAGAGCCGTTTGGTGAAATCGAGATCGGAGACGTCGGCTACGTGAGCGAGGGCACATTCATCCGGCTTTTCAATGTGCTGCGCCCTGTGGATGACCCTATTAATGCGGATGGAGTGCCTGAGGGGTTCGTCACGCTACGACCTAATCCACGTCTCTTGCGATCCGGCGAGCAGCACGTATCTCCTGGCCCAATCTGTACGACAACGACGACGTACCGAAAAGTGGGCGTAGAAGCGGAAGGGTCCAAGTGAGTATATCTCGTCCTGCTTCAGATCAAGATGGCTGATCCCTCGAGAAGTGCCGTTGCGGCATCATACACCTTTAGCTGCAATAGCAGTCGCGGCGCCGTCGCTGTTCTGGGGGACAGCGGACATCAGCAGTGGTACCTGCGCAACCGGAGCTTCCGGCAATACATCGCGAAGTACCACTCCTCTTGGTACGACTTCGCCGTGGCAAAGGACCATGACATTGCACCCGAATCGCTCGTGCTCGTCTCGGGCTGGCTCAAGACATCGGAGTGGGCGATCGCGACGTTCTCGAACCAAGGAAAGGCCCACGATATGTCGCTTAGCGCCTGCGCAGGCTCGTACGCGTCAGCTGCCTTCGAGATCTCTGCGGGCACGGAGGTGCAGATGTCCGTTGAGCAGCGCTCTGGTCCACCCGAGAAGGCTGGAGTAGCGGAGGGCCGCTTGCCACATGATCAATGTCTTTTCCTGAGGTACTACAAGCTCAAGAACCGCGCGCTCGGCAGGCCGAAGGTGTCTCTGCAAGCTGACGCAAGAGACGTGCAAAGTCCGTGGCAAGAATCGCTGCCGTCGCACCGGCACAACAGGGGCTCAACATCGAGCGGCACGGGCAGCCCATCAGGATCTTCACGATCGTGGCTCTCACGCCTCTTTGGGGAGCAACGGTCGACAGGCCGCCCGAACCCATGGCGTAAAGCCAGCTCGACGGGCTGGAGTAGCGGCAAATCAGGTTTATCGCAGGTGGAGGAGATGCCACGGGCGGATGACTTGGAGAGCGTGAGTATTAGCGAGTCTGGTGTGTGAACGTGTCACTAATAGCGACGCAGGCTTATGATCCTATCGACTGCATGCTAGACTACATCTTAGAAGTACGCAGCCTCGTTGATCCTCGTGAAGCGGCACCATGCTGACCGATGTGCCACCCCGAGCAGTACTCAGATGCTCAAACTGCAATCGTATGCCATGAGGACGCATACGATATCTTCCCCTGCGCTGACACGCCCCGCCCTGCGCAACTGGATTCCTGGCCAGAGAATTTGACACAGTATCTCGGCCGCAAAATGCCTGAGATCGAACTCGACGACGACGGCTGTAAGGCTTGGCTCTCTTTCTCTACCGAAGTGCGCCTCACTGACATCTCTCTGCCTTCTTTCTAGCTGGGTTTCTCAAAACGAGCATGCCTGACGAGGCGCTCCTTCCGAATGTCTGCAACACCAAGCTCATAGACGCCAGCGCAACTCAGCATCGCAGTGACGATACCGGCCGCGAAGACGGCTCGGTGGACGGCGGGCCTGATGAAGCACTCACGCACATTTCTCTCGTTCCTCCTCCAAATCCTCCCGGGCTCGCATATCCGCTGAAATCTCACCAACAGCAGCAGCCGTCAATTCGGCCCGCCATTCCAGGTACTGCTGAGGCCGCGCGGCGCGCGTCAGAAGACAAAAATCTCAAGCCTGGCGGCGCATTGGCACCAATTGACGAGCCCAGCAGGGACGCCATGGTAGCGCCCGGCGAGTCTACAGCGACCCCACCTGCCGCCGACGGGCCCCGCGGCGTGCTCGACAAGGTGCTGAGCCTGAACCTGTGGCAGAGGACGGCCGATGCGCGACGGCGCCTGAGGACGCGCGAGCCGAGCGTTCACACGCGGGCCGACAGCGACCGGACGTTGGTGGATTAGCAGACAGGTGTTGATGACGCTGTGAACTTGGATAGTGCTACAGGTTTTGAGTACTGTGACGAGGCTCTTTCGGCATGTACTTTTAGTTTCGCGCCCACTGAGGCGACGGAAGACAATCTGGCCAGGCAATTAACAAGCCACCCTCTTTCACGTCGATGTATACAATCCCACATATCCAAAAGCATACATGATACTTATACATTACAGCTGTTTCAACATGTCCTTTTTGCTTCCCCTGCCTACTCTGCCACCGCCCCCTGTGGCGCACGGTACCACACGTCTGCGCGGACGAAGTTGTTGTACACCTCGCCGGGTCCGAGGAGCGTGTCATCGCCGCTCGCGCCGCGAGTGGACGCGTTGGCATCGAGGAACGCCGCAAGCGGCTCATGGAACTCCAGAAACGCGGCGGCTGGGAGAAAGGTGCGAAGTCAGCGCGTATGTCACGTTCGTCATTCGGAACGCGTAAAGGATGTTGGCGAGTAGCATACGCAATGAAGGTGCCTCCCAACAGGTTGGCGAGTGTGCGCGCACGTAGGCTGTTCCGCATCTTGGGCATGGAGCACGCCCCGAGAGAAAGAGTAGAAGGTATGGAAGAGGAAGGGAGACTCACATCCGACATCGTACCCATCTTTGCCGAACTCGCCGCTCCCACCGTGGATGCGCTTTCGCGCGTTCCGGGACGGGTTTGTGAGATTGTTCGTGTAGAATTGCACGCCAGACTCTGTCGTACCAAAGGTGTCGGAGCGATACCCAGGTGCGGGGGCAGCAGCGAACAGAAGCACAGGAGAGAACCATCGGGCCGGGCGGAAGTAAGTGGTCGCAGCACTAGGTCAGCACGAGACAATAAGACTGCGAGCGATAGGCACTCACGGTTGGATTCAAACACGAGCTTGAGCCCGCTCTTGTCGCTCGCGAGGAGTACGAGCGGATCCGTGGCAACGCGGACGGGCGACTCCTCGAGGATTTTGCCCACGATGTTGACGTCCTCTGGATTCATCTCCGTATTAGCTCATTATTATGAGGGAGCGTGGGAAGGGTCGCACCAGACTGCACCGATACGGCGCCGGACGAAGGGAACGCTGCGGCGGGAAGGCGTGTGGGGAGCGCGTGCGCGGAGCGGCTGAAGACGTAGAACTCATCTGCAAGAGGGAGAAGATTAGTATGGGCATCAAGTTCAAGCCGCCGCAGACGCCAGTGCATCGGCTGGCGGGTCCGCCGCCACTTTGGCGCATAGATCAGAGGGAACAGCGCAAGATGGAGTCGAGCGCCAATCTGTACGATGCGCTATGTAGGAACGGCGGCCTGTAAGAGCAAGCGTCTTGTCGCAGTCGCACCAAGGAGGCCTGTGCGTGCATGTCCCGCTGCTTTTGCGTGAGACGCGTTTTGCACAATCGCATCAGCGCTCTTACGGTGCATACACCATTCAAGACAGTGCGGATCTCAAGATCGAGCTCCTTGGTCCGCCTGCCGCCAGGTCTCTCCTCCGGCGAGTATGGCGACTCCCGATGGAGGGAGTAAGAGGCTCCTCACGGCCGTGCAGGGAAAGTTTCAGCTCTCGCACGAGACACACTTCAGTTAGATAACATCGCTGCCCCGGCGGCGTACGCGCCACTAAACGCTGTGCATGCCTCAGGGCAACCCTAAAAGGATTCGTTGACTCACCGTAGCCTTTATCATACTGCTCACCAATCGTTCCCGTGGATTTGGCAGCGTGATTGTGGTGTGTGCCTTCTGCGGACGCAAGCTTGCCAGTTGAAAGCGCGGTCTCGGGGTAGAGTTCAATTGTATGGTTCGACTAAAACATGGAAATATGAGTTCAATGTTGACCACTCTCGAATAAGAACGCGAAGGCCTGCCTTTATTTGTAGTCTGTGTCCATGTACGGACGGCTCTGAGCCATCTTGAAGAGAGGCATCAAGATTGAAGCCCCAGTGCTGCAAAATGTCAGACAAAGACAAGATACAGTTTACATGCGGAGTGCGTACCTGCGTCAGGTTAATCGGCGTTACCTTATCCTCCCCCTCGAGCTTTGCGCGATAAACAATCACAAGACTACCCAGGCAGTACTCGCCAGTCAACTCGTCGATGGCCTTGCCCTTAGGACTGACGAGGCCGACGAAGACCTCAACGCGGAGTCTGCCGGGGTAGCCCTCCTCGCCGTCGTCGCTGGTGCGGGCAAAGATAACGCTGGACTGGCCAGGGAAATCGCTCTGGATGGTCACGAGCTCAGCAGGCGTGAAGAGCTGGACGGCGTTCGGGTCAAGGAGAGGCTCCCAGAGGTGGCTGTCGAAGCCCTGGACACCGCCATGGAGTGAGACAGTGGGCTTCTCGTTTGGGCGAGGGCTGAACTGCCCCTGGGCGGCGGCCTTGGTGAGCGTGGTGGGTGCAGCGGCGTCGGACGCAGACACGGGAACGCGGTTGGCGTAGCGGCCGACGATGCTGTTGGTGTACTTTTGCTGGAGGTGTGTCGCCGGGTCCTCTGGGCCGATCAGAATGTCGTGTGTCTGGCGGGTGAAAGTGTCAAGGGACGGTGAGTCAGCACTGGGCAGGGAGGCGCACCTTGCCATCGGCCTGGATGTAGAGCCTGTGGGCGGTGATGCCGTGGGGGAGGACCTCGAGGGCGAGTGAGGGCGTGAAGCTGGGCAGCGTGAGCAGCACGGGCGTGAAGCGGGGGTCTGTGGTCATCGTCGTCGACAGCGAAGAGGAGCACTGTGTTATCGCGATCTGCCTCTTGTCTCACAAGTCTTTGGCGGAGGCAGACGAGCGTCGATCCCCGGCCCGATCGCGTTATGACGCCACTAAATCTCATCTTATCGCGTCTCAAATGCCGAGGATCCGCCGCTCAGTCTTTGATATCCGTGCCGCGTTCGCGTCGTCCGCTGTCACCAGAACGCAGCCCGTGCTTATCCCATGCTTTTGGTTCTCTCTGACAGATTTTACCTGCTTTCAGGCATTTAGTGCGTTTGTGCAACCGTCACGGTCTGCCAAGTTACATCGCGGCCTGTATCCTCGCTTTCTACGCCTGTCAACTTGAAGTACCAGCCATGACTCGTAGCTTCACGGCCACAACTTGCATGTTTTGGCATTTGCATCTAAATTGCGCCCGTCGCCATATTAAATAGTGCTTGAAACGAGCCATCATCTACTGATCACGGTGGCATGAATTATGCCGCATGACATATGTTCGTTCAGAGCACGCGATCGTCTCGAAGCACAGTGCACGCACGCGGCGGTGCAGTCTCGCATCTCGCCAAGTCTTACTTCTATTAACGAGTTTATATACACGGGCTCTAGATTCGTACTGTATGCATGGTGCTGGCAAGGGCTCACCTTGCCTGCGCACCTCGGCTTGCCTGTGCACCTCAGCTTGCCATGGGACCTTGCCATCCTCGCGTCTTCACACCCAGTGCCCACCTAACGGTTGCTAAGCTCGGCGACAGCGAACAAGTACTGTCATGTGCTGACGGTTTCCCACCAACGACGAGTATTTTCACGACGCACAGGGGTAAGCGAGGCCGCTGGTAGCTATCCCGGGCGTGCACGCCCATCTCCGTTCCCTCAGTCGATCGGAGAGTGTTCAACGCTCCATGCGTACGACTTGGAGAGGAGGATAGCAGCTCGTGTCGTCCTCATAGATGGGCTCCGACAATAATTGCAGGCCACAATCCGCTCGTGTAAATGACGCGCGCGTCCGCCCCAATGGCTTGCGCGCTGGTGTGTTGGAGGGGGTGTGTCAGCCTACGAGGACGGCTAGTTTAGGAGGAGATTTTCGAACAGTGAGCTGTCTGCGACGCGCACAGACATCGAGCCTTGGTCGGCTGACGTCTTGTATTCGTACTCGCTTACAAATTCCAAGCTACTTGCTCTGTTTCCAATAACAAATAACAATGATTAGTAGTAAATCACAAAGCGGGAGCCTTGAAGATGGGGAAAAGGAGGAAGAAAACAGAAGCCTTGCGCGCCTTGTACTCCAAGACTGTATTACCTACTTAGTAAGTACTAAGTGTCAATAAAAACGCAAAATGCTGATCTTTGGACGAAGTTGAACTTGAAGTCTTGAGCAAAAGGGCGCACTAAACATGGCGTAGGAAAAAAATTCGCCTACAAGTAACAAGAGTTAATGACCACCGCAGGGGTCAAACCTGCAATCTCCTGATTCGTAGTCAGACGCGATGCCATTTCGCCGGGCGGCCATGGTGTTCGCCGTCCGTCGCGTTCCGACACCGAGCTACGGTCTAATAGTTTCACCGTAAGTTACAAATTGAGTGTCAGTCCGGGCACTGCCCAGACGAGCAAACTGCGCGAAACGCCGCCGGACGTACGAGCTTGGGTCAAGTAGACCGCGCGGTTAGCCGTAATATTGATAATGCATTCAGCACTTGCAAGTCACAATGCCTCTACAAGACTAAGCACGCGCTAGTCGTGCTGTATACACGACGGCTAGAGGTCCGTTTGTACCACTAGGGTAAGTAATACGAAAGAAATTCAAAAAGGGGTAGTATATATCTCTTGGTTAATGTTGCCATGAATACGAAAGAAAAGAGTCATCGTCTTTAAGCGATCCAGACAGGCCTGCACGAAGGCACTCGCCGACATCTCACCAACTTCCTGCGCCCCTCGGGCCTATCTCGCGCAATATGCCCTGCAGCCTACTCCCACTCGTCAGAATCGTGTACGGACGGTCAAACAGGTAGAATGGCATATACCTTCGTGCTCTGTGTCTAATCACAACATTCTCAAAAGGTGCTCACGACGCCAGAGGGCTCGTCCCCGAAGCTGCTGACGATGCCAGAGGGCGAGACGCCGATGGAGGAGGGGAAGCTGCTCACAGTGCCGGAGGGATTGAAACTGCTGGCGATGCCAGAGGGCGAGCTGCCGATGGAGGAGGGGAAGCTGCTCACGGTGCCGGAGGGATTGAAGCCGCTGGTGATGCCAGAGGGCGAGATGCCGATGGAGGAGGGGAAGCTGCTCACAATGCTGGAGGGATTGAAGCCGCTGGAGGGATTGAAGCCGCTGGAGGGATTGAAGCTGCTGACGGTGCCAGAGGGCGAAATGCTGATGGAGGAGGGGAAGCTGCTCACAGTGCCGGAGGGATTGAAGCTGCTGGCGATGCCAGAGGGCGAGATGCCGATGGAAGAGGGGGAGCTGCTCACAATGCTGGAGGGATTGAAGCCGCTGGAGGGATTGAAGCTGCTGGCGATGCCAGAGGGCGAGCTACCGATGGAAGAGGGGAAGCTGCTCACGGTGCCGGAGGGATCGAAGCCGCTGACGATGCCAGAGGGCAAGATGCCGATGGAAGAGGGGAAACTGCTCACAGTGCCGGAGGGATTGAAGCTGCTGACGATGCCAGAGGGCGAGATGCCGATGGAGGAGGGGAAGCTGCTCACAATGCTAGAGGGATTGAAGCTGCTGACCACACCAGAGGACGAGCTGTCGATGGAGGCGAAGAAGTCGCTCGCGATGCCGGAGGGCCCGGCGCTGACGGCCGTGGGAGTGACGGTCTTGGTGACGGTGACGGTGACAATCGGCAGTCCGGTGCATGTGCCTTGCATGCTGTTTGGGGTAGCACTCTCGATGAAGGAGACGGAATGGGGCGCCGACCTGACGAAGGAGGCGGAAGGGGTCGCCGACCGGATGAAAGAGATGGAGGGGGTCCCCGACTCGATGAAAGAGACGGAAGGGTTTGCCGACCGGATGAAGGAGGCAGAAGGAGTTGCCGACTCGATGAAGGTGCTGACTACGCTTCCAGGTGTGGAAGACTCAATAAAGACTAAAGAAGAGGGGTTGGGGGACTCGATGACAACTGAGCTGGCAGGAGTAGGAGACTCGACTGAAACCGGCACAACCTGTGGAGTGCGGTGCATCAGCCTCGTTCAATCCCACAAATGCATAGGCATGCTCACCGTAACAACCGGGCCTGCGAGCGCACCAGAGGCGACAGCGAGGGCAAGGAGAAGGTTAGCAGCGGAAAGGTTGATCATCTTTCAAGTCTAGGTCAAGAGCTGAAGGTGAAGGAGAGTTTACGATATGGCGAGCGCAGGCCCAAAGACTGTTGAGAACAGAAGCGGGATGCAGATGGTGTTCATTCCGCCGCATACTTATACTCCACAGACTGCCGTACGTCATATAAGCAGCTGAGCAACGCTGCAGGGCACGCTGAAGGGGCGCGAGGCACAGGTGCTGTGCGGTACGCGACGGCACCAGAAACCTTTAATCTAGAACCGGGAGGATCCTCCTCGCATGCGACAGGAGGGTCGGACGCGTTTGTACAAGAAGACTCCAGGACGGGCTGTAATGGCCGTCTATCCAGCTCCTTGGGATTACGCGAGGAGGCGTTTTGGCATTCCGCCCGAGGTCTCACTGCTCTTTCTGGGATCAGTGAGACGAGAAGGCGGATGACGCGAGATTTCGAACCGCAGATTAGACGTGAATTGCACATAATCACTGTGCGCTAGAGCGAGTACATTTTGCGACTAGTTTTTCCGCATGTGTGAGGAGAGAGACGAGGCTGTGTGCACAACTATGAGGCGGTGTAGGTACGCATTGCGCAGCAACCAGCTCTTCTTCCGCAAAGAGCGGTTGTTATTTCGTCTGCACGTAACTGCGGGCCATGCGGGCTTTCGTAACCGTATAAACGTCGCTGTAACAGCCAGTATACTATTATACGAGACCACACGAATGTACAGCTTCTGTAAGGAGACTGGGTAAGGCGTCAGTAGGGTAGACTGAGAATAGCGCGGAATAGCAGAGCACCTCGTATTTTATGCGATGACTAAAAAGAATTAGTGTCCTAAATTCCTGGATACACGCTACACAGTGAAGGACATGAATGTCTTGATTCCTTTATCCTGAGCCGGCAGTTGGCCGGCAGAGACCCAGAGCTAAAGAGCACGGGGATGCCGGATCGGCATCAGTTCCTTGGCGGCCGGCACCGCCCGGCATCCTGCCGCCACGAAGATCCACCGTTGCAAACAAACGGCGTATCCATGGCCGGCCATTGATCTGCAGGGCGAGTACTTACGGGGCTGTGCACATCGTGCTACTGGGAATTCGACCACTTTTTTCCGGCTTTCTCGCGCGTGTAGCCCCTGACATCGCCTTCACCCGCGAAATCTTATTAAACTGCCCCATCAGAACGAAAAGAGAGGCTGATAGCACACCACGGCATCGAGCTCGGGCGACTCTCTGCCGGTATTGACCGCTGCCAAGGCTGGAGGCGGTACAAAATCAGCTGCGGAATCGAGTTGTCGCCTTATATTGCATCCCATCGTGCGCGCGCAGTGGCCAAGTCCTTGCAAGACAAGGCAGCTGCCCCGACTCACCGCAAGGCGCAGCAATGAATCCCTTCTCTGCGGGCGATATACACGCCCGATCAGACTCCTGCTCGGCCCACATGCTATCTCACACTCCTTTAGACGAAGCTCACACCGGAGGAAGAGAAGGACAACCGGCGCGAGCTACTTCATGTGGATCCCGCTGAGCCGGGCTGGAGCATGCCGAAGCAGCAGGAGAAAAGAGGTTATGTTTGACACGACGGCTCCGCGTTGGCTACCGGCTGATAGAGGCGTGGACAAAGCGGCGACGAGCACGCACCGCTTAAGTATTCACGGCGCACGTGCGTCTAATCGTCTCGTCCCGCATATCTCGCATTGGTAGTGCGGTCGTCGGATCGGGTATTGTACGTCTCAGCTCTCGGCTTCACCAAAACAAATACCATAACTATTTCGCGCTCGCCCCGGTTCGCTCATCTCTTGTCGCTAGTCCTTGCCGAGAGTGTCAATCGTCCGCGTCAGCATTTGCACGTGCTATCACACCATACGCGCTAAGTCCATTCACGATATCGTGAAGAAGCAATGCAGGCGAAAAATATAACATCACACGGCCCGTATCGCTAGGATACGGCGCAGCTAACAAGGAAAATGTCCAAAGTAGAGTCCACACCACGGCTCAGTACTCTCCGCCGTCGGCATCTCTCCAACTGAATCCGCGCTCCGGCATGTTGATACCTACAGTATCTGTCAGATCTGTGCGCGATATAGAGACTAGAGAGGGCGGTCAGCGACTGCTCAAAGAGCGGTGGCGGCGGCGGCGGTTGGGAAGCTGACAGGGGTAGCGGACTCGATGGAAGTGCTGAAGCTACCTCCAGGAGTCGCGGATTGGATGAAGACGGACGAGCCGGGCGTGGCGGACTCGATGAAAGTGCTGAAAACGCTACCAGGCGTGGCTGATTCGATGGGGACGGACGCGACGGGAGTGGCGGACTCGATGGGGATGGACGTGACGGGAGTGGCCGATTCGACGGAGATGGATGTGACAGGCGTGGCAGACTCGATGGAGACGGACGTGACAGGAGTGGCGGACTCGATGGAGATAGACGTGACGGGAGTGGCCGATTCGACGGAGATGGATGAAACGGGCGTGGCGGACTCGACGGAGACAGACGTGACGGGAGTGGCCGATTCGATGAAAGTGCTGTACGCGCAGCCAGGAGTGGCCGATTCAATGAAAGTGCTGTACACGCCGCCAGGGGTGGCCGATTCAATGAAGACCGAGGTAGCGGGGGTTGCGGACTCAATGAAGGTGCTCAGCACACTCCCGGGGGTAGCAGACTCGATGAAAGTACTGGATTCGCTTCCAGGGGTCGCGGACTCGATAAAAATCGACGAGCTGGGCGTGGCAGATTCAATAACAGTACCGAAGACGGTTCCCGTGGTAGTCGGCTCAATAGAAACGGGTGTAGCCTGAGGAGCACGATACGTCAGTCCTGTCCTAGTTTATAATGGCACGGACGTGCTCACCGTGACGACTGGGCCCGCAAGCACACCAGAGACGGCGCTGAGGGAGAGGAGAATACTGGCAGCGGGGAGCTTGATCATCTTGCAGGATTTGTTTTTTAAAAGCGAGAGTAAAGAAAACGCAGACTCGAGACTGTTGAAGGCAGAAAAAGAGTGCGGATGGTGCTACTTTCGCCGCATATTCTGCAGCATTTATATGCGCTAGGATGGGCCGCCGTGAGCCGTGCGAACATCCAAGAAACGCTGCAGATAATCGCTGAAGGCGCACCGGGCGGAGGTGCTGTGCGGCGCGCAACGGTACGAGAGACGTGTCGTCCAGAACCGGGAGAATACTGCTGGCACACGCGGAACGTAGGGTGGGTTTGTTCGAGAAATCGTCCAGACGGGCTTCAAAGACCGTTTGTCTCGCCCTTTCGGTTGCATGAAGAGTTATTTAGGCATCTCGCCCGTAGAATAATTGTTTCTGCCGTCAACGATATGGGAGGAGGTCGATCTTCGGCGCAAGCGTCCGAGCCGGGAACGCCGCGCCTATGCTTCGTGTACAAGAGCACGTTTGCCGGTCAGCTTGTCCGTATGCGAGAGGGAAGTGTTGGGGCTGTGCGCGTAACCATGAGGCGGTGCAAGTAAGCAGCAACAAGCTCCTCTTCCACCAAGAGCAGCTAAGACCTCGTCTTCACGTAATGGCAGATCATGCGGTATTTCATGGCCGCAGAGGCGTTTCTGGGACGTCAACAGTATGAGAAGCGACCGGTGTATAGCCTACATGAGGGGGGCACGCACAGGACGAGTGCGGCGCGGTGAGAATGACGCACGATAATCAAATACTTCATATTGTTCACGGCGACGGGTGACGACTAGAGCAACACATGCCTGAATAGTCGCGTGCAGTGAAAAGCGCGAATTTTATATCCGTTTTATTCGGTTTTGGTAGATAGAGAACTGAGGGAAGGCGCCTGCTACGGAGTCAGCACAGCCCATGAGGTAAGTGACGATTGGCTGCGATCAGCCGCTTGGCAGTCGGCACTACCCGGCATCAGCAGCAATGTTACCCACGAAGATCCACCGTCATAAACAAACGGCCTGACCGTGTGATCTGCAGGGCCATGGGTGCCGGAAAGGCTGTCCAGGCCGTCTGCTGCGGACTGGCAAGTCAACTAGGGTGTCAAACCGGTGTAGAAGAATCGGGATACGGTCACCAAGGAAGCCCTCAGGTTGGAGTTGGGCGGAAACATTGCGGCGCAGTTCGACTCGGGACGTTTTTCCGCGGCTACCGCGCGTGTTATCCCGCATATTACCTCAACAGGACAAACGCTTCTTCGTCCGTGTGGGGTGGCGTTGAGGGCTTGCGCGCGCTATTGTGTTCATTTGCGGGGCACCGTGTGGCTGTAGTTCGCAAGGTTCTGGCTGGCTCATCCGCGAGCTCTGTACAGCGGCTGGGAGACTCAGTTTGAGCTCTATCAGAATGGACGGAGGAATGATATAACATACTGCAATGGCCGGCTCGGGCGATTACTCTTTGCTTACCGTCGCCGAGGCTGGAGGCGGTGCGGAGCCTGCCGTGATATTGAGCGGTGGCCGCTTTGCACCACATAGTCGCAGGCGCGCAGAAGCCATTCTCTTGCGAAACGGGACGGCCACCTCGGCGGACTGAAGAGCGCAGCGACGACTCTTTACTCAACGTGTGGAATGCGCGCCCTGCTCGTTCAGCGCTTCTCTAATTTTTGTACCGTTGTTCTGAGACAGCGCCGCAGCTGATAGCCTAGATGCCTGCGGATGGAGAAGGAGACTCCCGCTGCGGAATAAAAATAACACAAACCGACGCAGCTCGCTCCTGCGAACTCGCTAAGCCGGGCGAAAGAGTACCGGAGCGAACAGAAGAGGCTGAGGCATCATCTCCGATGCGAGACCGTCGCGTCGGGGACCGGAGGGTGTTCGTGCGAACAGGACAACAAAGCTGCCGGACGGAGAGGAGCCTGCAGTTGATGAACATATGAACATCAGCGATGCGTTCTTCTGTTGCGTAATAGTGTGGACGAATTTTGTAGAAGGAACCCTTGAAAGATGTTACCTACATTCCGAGCTTTGCGTCCTGCTGCCTCACTGATGGGAAGAGTTAGCCTTATTCTTGCACATGATACACTCAGGCTAGACCTGTATATAGTTGGCGAAGGATGTGTCCTCGCTCTTCACTATACGCCAAAGATCGATCTCGTGGTCGAGGACAACCGCACCGATGAACAATACTGGTCAGTAACGATAGCCTATACTCAAAATAAGAGATATCGACACCGGGACCTCTCGGTATTGCAATGCGCACTGGAGTGTGGAAGCCAAGGACGAATATTATTGGCCTCGAAGCCGAGTTAAATACCATGCCGCGCAAAACGCGTTAATATACGGCACCCATTTTGTACTCTGCGTTTTTCTTACCAATATATTGGATTTCTGTTTGACCTTGACTGCGCATTGTCGTGTATAAAAACTCTGACATGGGAGATGTTCACGACGCGGATCGAACCAGCGACTTCACGCCTGTTAGCGCCGACATCATAGCGATGGCGGAGAGTGCGGACCGGGAGGAACCCGTGCCGTCAAAAGTGTTCACGCGCGCTGGGATTTTGGGTGCTCTCGCCCTGACGGACGTCCCCAGGCCCACATTCCACATCGATATGCTGTCCGTCCACTGCACTTTTCCTTCGTCTACCACCTGCCTCTACTTGTCAGCTATCTTACTGCCTCTGAAATAAGAACAGGACTATCAACCGGGGACAAAAAAGGTCTATAAGTCGAGAGTCAGTAAAGTACGTCGTAACGTGCTGCAGTATGGAGCTAATGTTTAAATTCATGATATATGTTTGCTCAGATAATATACGATGGCAGAAGAGCCCGTCCCTGTCTTCACTACCGTCCTCGACGCTCACCCGGTGCCAGGTATCGCTACGCGTGAGGCGTACGTTCCTCATCTGCCCATTCACCCCAGAATCTTGCTCATCCGACGCATAGAGCACGCTTCGACGACCTTGTCTCCGAGTTTGCACGCCGCTTCGGTCACAATCCGACGTACATTGCACGCGCCCCTGGACGCGTGAACCTCATCGGCGAACACATCGACTACGTCCTCTTCGGCGTCTTCCCTGCTGCCGTCGAGCAGGATGTCCTCATTGCTTGCGGGCGTCGGCCCGCGAACTTACCAGCCGTCTCCTCTGTCTCGCCACTCTCATCATTCGCCAATGGTCATGTCCACGCCCAGAATTTGAACGACAAGTACGCGCCGCAAGCATTCGCACCGATGCTACGCGAGAGCGTGCGGAAGGAAAGCCTTCAAAGCGAGCAAGAGCATGTGAACTTGAAGGAGTGGCATATAGACATCGATCCGAGGGAGTTACGCTGGGAAAGCTACGTTAAGGCTGGGTACTATGGTGTCTTAGAGCGGTTCTTCGCCGACCCATCGGCCTCTGGGTGAGTACCGCTTCTGTAACAGTTTTGCTCAGTGGACGCGTGGCGAGCTTCTCGTCAAGCATGGAATCAACTGTTATCATTTATATATCCGTGTATCGGGTTCTTTGCTGACTATCGCCTTGCAGTGAGCCTGCAAACACCGACATCCTCGTCACCGGCACGGTGCCCGCCGGCTCTGGTCTCTCCTCGAGCGCAGCGATGGTCGTCGCATCGACCCTCGCATTTCTGGCCGTCAATGAGAAGCTCGAACTTCCCTCCAGAGATGGCACGCGACGCATCACCAAGGGCGAGCTCGTCGAGATGGCAGTCGAGAACGAGAAGCGTGTGGGCGTGAACAGTGGCGGGTACGTCTCTATCTACATGTACCCGGCCGGCTGATGTGGATTTATTGTATGTGGAGGATGGACCAGGCCGCGTCGGTCACCGCACTCCCCTCGAGCGCACTGTACATCCACTTCTTCCCTATCTTTGGCGCTGCGCCAGTCCCCCTACCTATCCGTCGCACGAAGACGAAGGCAGTGTGGGTGATCGCTAACTCGCTGGTCAAGAGCGAGAAGGTGGTTGGTGAGCGTGCTATTTCACTCTGCTCGATGAGCCATTTGGCTGGTAGATGGGTGAAAACATGAGGAGCAGATTACAAATCTGATCTTAGCTTCTGACCTCGTACGGCAGCTATATATGCACCAGCAGTGCGCATATACCTACTTCGTGTCATATCTACTCTGAGACACATGCTGATGTCCCGCTCTGCAGGCGCCAAAACCCGCTACAACCTGCGCGTCGTAGAAACGCTCGTTGCCGCACGCGTCCTCGCACGTGTCCTAGGTCTTGAGCCCCTCCTCGCTGCCGAAGATGGTAAGAAGAAGTTCACGCTTCGAGAGGTGCTCGCCGCATACGTCGGCTCCGGCGAGATACGTGGCCGCGCCGCACCGAGCCTCAATCCCGAGGAGGTCAAGGTCGCTCTTGAGAAGATCCTGGGTGAAGTTGAGCGGCTTCGGCCCGAAAACCTGCGGCGATGGGAGAAGGGCGAGGCTGGTGTAGTCGAGGAAGGGCAAGCCGAGAGCAAGCAGCTCGGTTTGACGTATGATGAGATGGTGCAATTTAGCGGGCTGGAGAAGGATACGTTCTGGGAGGTCTATTTAAGCTGGGTCGAGGGTGAGTTCAGGCGACTTCTACCTATCCCTGGGCTACTGATGAGATGTTGCAATGTCGACTAGTCGAAGCGGATCACTTCCAGCTGTACAAGCGCACGAAGCACGTCTTTAGCGAGGCTCTGCGTGTGTTGCAGTTCCGCGACGTGTGCCTTGCTGCCGCATCATCCTCCACGAACCCTCAAATACATTCTCCAACGCTGAACGAGCCGTCACCTCCGGATGCAACCGCGTGGGTCCTTTCTCCGCAGGCTCGTGAAAGACCATTGCTGACATATGCACATCAGGGTCGGCGAGGAGCTCGATGACAGCGTGCTTCAAACGCTCGGTCAACTTATGGACGCGTCTCAGCAGTCGTGCAGCGCCTTGTATGAGTGCTCCTGCCCCGAGCTTGATCAGCTTACCCAGATCTGCCGGGATGCAGGCGCGTACGGTAGTCGACTAACAGGTGCGTTCATCTCTTTTCACTTTGCATGATCCTTGTTAAACCACTCTAACGACGCAGGTGCGGGCTGGGGTGGCTGCACCGTATCGCTCGTCGCGGAGAGCGCTGTGTCTGCGTTCATCGACCACGTTCGGCGGGTGTATCCGGCGTACCAACAACTCGGCGACGAGCAGCTTAAAGACGTTGTGTTTGCCACGCAGCCGAGCAACGGTGCATTTGGTAAGCCAGCTCTCTATCTTCATTGTTGGGTGGTGGAGCTGATATGCGGGCGGGTAGTATTCAAAGTTACAGAGTGAACAGCGCTCCGAAAACCGGAAGGCAGAAAATGTACAATTCATATGTATGGGTATCTAAGATCGATTCAGCCATTCCTCCAGCACATCTGGTTGTGTACTGTCTGTCATCTCAAGTGAGAACGCCAAGTCGTTTAGAGAACTTGTGTGATGTCAGGGAAATCTGTTCGAACAGGGGCAACAGCGTCCGGATATCTGCGCATACTTATATCCTTGTTGGGCACAGGAAGGTGTGGCAGCGAAGGAAGGCCGCGAGCGTGAGACAACGAAGATATTTATGATTAAACTGTATTTTGCAAGCGGTACGGCCGTGGTGGGGCAAGGAACTATCGAATATAACATATCTTTGGCCTTATGGCATGTCCGCAAATCAGACTTGTACATGCGTGACAGTTGAAAGCAGATCCTCGTACTACCTGTTTGTTTACCACTCATAAATTGTTTATAAACGTATAGGACCTTTTCTGTGTGTTTAAAAAAAGACATTTACGTCAATTACGTGTCAGCTAGACGGTTGGAGTAAGGCTCCAACCGTTTTGTTTGTTTACTGTATATAAACATTTATTACTGTTTACCGTTTCCGTGTGTGTAAATGAAGTCATGTAAACTTGGTGTAAATGTTTATACACAGTAAACATACAGTTTCCTCTTATTGTTTGTAAAAAGTCATGGTGTTGTACATTCATAGTCTTGCCAACATAATTGACCTTTATTGGGCTGAAGAGTGCATCACACTGCCTGTGCATCATCCTCGGGCGGCCTCTTTGAACCCCCAAGCCCAGCGCACTGTATCAAGTGCCTATGCGCTGAGACTTACTGGGGGTAATGGTAGTCATGATCGTAACTTGTGTTGAGCACAGTCTGAAGGTGAGCATTATAAATATAATATAATGTGTATTTATTGACTGCTCCTCTACATATAGTCTACTGTGGGCACTGGCAGCCTGCCTGCGAGAGTGTGGTATGCAGGAATGTCGTGAGCCCATACTTCATTCAAGAGGAACAATATTAATATTAGTTCAACCTCATTGAGTGATGACAGTACCACATGCGATACTAAGGCAGATTGACTCTAAAAAAAGGGCTATCAGAGGTCTGCACCCATGCAGCAGTCTTCTCTAGGCCAGCTCTCGAAGTCTTAGCGCGAGAGTATGTCGTGCCACCCCCAAAGTGCCAGGCTAACACTCGCATGGGTTATCGGCCCACTTCTCAACAATGAGGTCAATGATAGGACATGCCAACCTTCTAAAGGCAGAACCGCAAGCTTCTTACAGCCCCACGAACATCTTTGT